TTGTTATTGAACATTGACAAGATAAAGTTATGACACACATGGAACATCCATGATATCTTGGACAATCAATTACTAGATTAAAACTATTATAAATTAAAACAGATGTTGCTGATAATTCAATAGCAGTGGGTGACAAGTGATTTTCCAAGAAACGAAAATCACAAAATTTGTTTACTACTGACTTATCATTGGCAAATAAGCCCATGACACAAGACATTTGTGTTACTGGCGTAAGAGCTTTGTTGAAACTGCATAAATAAGTGCCATGTTTTTTACAAGTTGCCAAATTTGCCTTTTCCATTGTGACATAGTACTGTTGGTGTGAAGTAATAGCTAAATATTGTGGTAAATTTAACAACATTGTTGCATGAGAAGTAGCATTTATTGGAACTGGCAAAGAATTATTTCATACAGCTTGAGAGGTTCCTTTTCAGGAGAAATTGGATATTTAATTGTTATATAAACACTATTTTTATCGATATTTGTTCCAAAATGAAATGTGGCATGCTGATATTGATGTTGTTATTTATGTATTATTGTCATTTTGTTTATTTTCTTTGGTTACATCTTCTGACATCAGACTCGGACTTCTCTTGAACTGAATTTTAATGTGCGTATTGTTATGCGTTTACTTTTCTACATTGGCTAGAGGTATAGGGGGAGGGTTGAGATCTCATAAACATGTTTAACCCCGCCGCATTTTTGCGCCTGTCCCAAGTCAGGAGCCTCTAGCCTTTGTTAGTCTTGTATTATTTTTAATTTTAGTTTCTTGTGTACAATTTGGAGTTTAGTATGGCGTTCATTATCACTGAACTAGTATATATATTTGTTTAGGGGCCAGCTGAAGGACGCCTCCGGGTGCGGGAATTTCTCGCTGCATTGAAGACCTGTTGGTGGCCTTCTGCTGTTGTCTGTTCTGTGGTCGGGTTGTTGTCTCTTTGATACATTCCCCATTTCCATTCTCAATTTTATGATAGTACCATTGAGGTTCTTTATTTACTAAAGCAAACCTTGAGTAATTTGTTGATAATATATTGTCGATGTCCTGTATAACTTTGTTCAAAGAATAAATGGAGACTAAAACAGGTGTTAATTTGCCTTCAATCAAACTCTGCAAAGATTATATAACTGTATTTACTTCACTTGATATGGATGAAGCTTTATAACTTTGCATATTTAGTAAATTTGTCAAATCTAAAATATGAGTTTCAATATTTGTAATAGTAGACTGAAAATTTTTAGTAATATTACCAATTGCATAATAATTTTTCATTACTTCGAATTGAATATTGCCCATGCGTCTGTTTGATGTTGTCATGTAAGATGACAGATGAGATCCATGTTGACTTAACGCATTTGCCATTTTTATACTTTGTTTTTGCAATGCATTTAAATGTGATGCTAGTAAATTTACATCATCCATTGTAGCTGTCCCAAAGAATGATTTTGAAAGACTACCAATGAAGGGTAGCAATGCGCGTTTTGATTTCTTTTTAATATTAATAATTGGAATATGCAATTGTATGAAAGTAAAAAGATGGGCAATTTTAGCCCTCGTTTCTTGTTGAATAATATTAATGTTAGTTATGATGCTTTTAACACTATTACATGCATTTCCAGGTATATTTCCACAAACATTTATAAAAGGTTGTATCCACGAATGATGTTTCATTAAATTTTTCAAAAAGAAGTTTGTATATTCCGGAAACATCTACAGTATGTACCATAAATGTAAACAAAGGTTTTGCAAGATCACAAAAGAACCTTAAGTTAAAGCCTCTACATCAAATTGATGTTCCAGTAAAAATTCCAAAAAGTGTTGAAGATCAAGTTATATTATAAGAACCAGTAAAACAGTTAGAAAATGCTAATTTAATGGCTGCCAAATGTTTAGTAAAAGTTAAACAAGGAAGAGCTATGTTCAAACTTTGCAATCCTACTGAGAGTGAAATTTTTGTCAAATATAATACTATTTTAGCCACCATTTCCGATATAGATATATCGTGCATAATACCATTAGAACAAAATGAAGTTTCAGTGAATAATGTAGAGACAGGTCATGAAAAGGCAAAGTTTGAAAAGTCTCCAATTGACTTTAACTTATCAGATTCAGAATTGAATTCAGAACAAAAGAGGCAATTACAAGAATTTCTAAAAACGCAAAGGGATGTTTTTGCTACAAATCTTAAGGAATTGGGGAAATCAGACAGATATGCTCATAAAATTGAAACTTTTGAATCTACTCCAATTAAAATGCCTTTTTATAGACAAAATCCAGTAATGCAAAAGGAAATTGACAGACAAGTTAATGAATTAATAGAAGCAGGAATTGTAGTTGAGTCTAACAGTGAATATCATTCGCCTGTAGTTTTAGTAAAAAAAGTAGACGGAACGTTTCGTTTTTGTTGTGATTATAGAAAAATTAATCTTCAGACACGCCCCCTTTTTCATCCTTTACCACGGCTAGAATCGGTATTTGACTGTCTAGCAGAATCAGAAGCTCACATATTCAGTTCATTTGATTTACATTCTGGATATTTTCAAATTCAGATTGACCCAGAAACAAGACACAAAACAGCTTTCATTACTAGAAATGGAATCTATGAATGGACACGAATGGCCGGGTCCTCCACCACTTTTTATACTTGGTTTGGTGTTGGTTGGGGTGAGACTATACTCGACTTAGTGTAGTGAGAGGATGGATGAAACTTGTAGGTATATGTAGACGACAAGTAACTGTTTACTATTTGTGTTTTTAGGACTTTTATCATACCACTAGGGTTTCTGAAATTGTCCGGTTATTAGGTTACCTTTAAAATAAAAACACAAAGTTCTGTTCAGTTGGAATACACAGATAGTACACCAACTGAACAAACTTGTTTATATAGTACCCGGAGAAATTATCGCATTATCAAATAAAGTAATAAACGTCTGTACTAAAATTTTGCATCTTTGAAGTGACCGTTGAATTACCCATATTTAAACTCTTAACCTCCCCAATACACTTAAAAGTAACATGTGTAATGGGGTTTACGTTACATGGTCATTTAGTAATCTGAATCGAGTGTTTACTTACATCTTAAACCCCACTGGCTAAATTTGTACATGGTCTATAAAATTTTATACCTGGACATTTATCTATGGACAAGTGCAACTAAACTATGTATACATTATATTTCAAACTTTGAAGAATATTTAAATGAAAACTTCTCTATAATATATTTATCAAATTTAAAAAATTGCATTATTGACTTTTTCATAAAAATTGGTACACATAATCTTCATACGTTATCAAACCAAATGTCATTTTAAAAAGAGGGGTCCATGAATTCGTTTTCAAGATAAATTAGTTTGAACGATAACAAACAGTCGAAAACTGTATCTTTTCCCGATATGTCACAATTTGACGTCGCGAAAATAATATTTTACGTTAACAACGTCATTACCTCCCCTGAAACTGTATCGTATGCCCTTAAACGTCCAGTGGCAAATTAAATGCATGGTCAGGATGAGAACATGATAATGTGATAAATATATAAACGCTATATATATGTACTAGACCAACACGTTGAGCCGGATTTTTAACGTGCTAATTCATGTTCACAAGGTAACAGTCCACAGGAAGACATGTCACCCTACCCGGACACATTATTTCGACTCCGAGCCGACCAGTCATTGATCTTACTCCTAAATGCCGCGTGCTTAGCAGAGAAGCAGCAAATACCAATTTTCAAATCACTGGTTTTGTCCGAACCAGGGTTCAAACCCAAGACCTCCCGCACTCGAATCGAGCACGCTACAACAAGATCACCGAGTAAGTGATATGTTGTTGAAGATAAAAAGATTTTATGTCAGTACAATGATTAATACAATTACACAAATAAAATTATGTATTGCCTAACAATGTAATTTTAACACTTTTTGGTATGTAAATATTGAAATATCAAAAATATTTTACGAGATAAAAAAAAAAAGATAAACGCAATATTTCGCTAGACAAACTAGCTTCGTCGGGCTTGCATCTAGCCAGGTGAAATTGGATGTAGATAAGAAACTTTTGCAGCTCATTGTACATTTAATATTGCTGCGTAAGACAATTGGACGACGGTCAAGATTTGTTGTTTGATTTACAAAATCTGTTCTTGAAGTAATGTAAATTTACACGTTCACTGGCCAATATTATAATATTAAAGAAGCTGCCACATAATAAACTTAATTTTTAGCTTTCCTGTACCTTTTCCGACTTTTTCATTTAGACCATAATGTTATGCCTGAAAAATATTTGCCACTGAATCTTAAAGCAACCAACAATCAATCAATCTAAAGTAAGGAGCTGGTGGATCCAAAAGTTCTTTTTGTCCTTCTCGCCGCGGTGTCAAACTCAAGTGTTCACTTCTATATTTTGAAAAGAAACTTTACCAAAAGGATGTTTCTTTGATCGCCGTATGGGAGCATCACCGGATGTTGGTACTTGCTGAGACGGAGTGAGGATGAAGTTGCTGTAAAATGCAAGCTGCCGTACATATCAATACATAAGTTGCTATACACATCGAAACTTTGTCTTTAATTTGTGTTTTACATATATTTTAAAGACAATTTATGAAAACTGTGTTCTTGTGTATTTATAATGGGTCATAATTAAATAATAAGGAGAAATATCCAATCTTTAGAAGCATTAAACCGGCTATTTTTCTTGATCTGAAGTAAACGGTGCCTCTTTTTTCCGGTACTAGATGGTAGTTTTCTATCTTCAGATTAAAATTATGCTGATTTCTAACATGTTCAGTCTTCCAAATATTTTATAAATCAATATCTTATGAAACGTTTTTTTTCAAATCAAATCGTTATGGTCCTTTTTTATATGATACAGATGCTGTATTTTTATTTTCAGCTGAAATAATTGATTTCATTTGTCATTACCGTAATATACACTTTGAGACGACCCCTTGTATACAAATTAAAAAAAAAACAATCGATACGATCATTGCAGTATTTCGAGACAGAACAGTATTTAAAAGGGTACATGCCATTTATTCGTACACAAACGCCGGTCTAGTCGGATTAGTTAATATAAAATTAAAAACATGGGATTCGATGAAGAAGCAGGTAATATTTTAATTATTATGTTAATGAGTGATAAGTTCGGGTGAGCTATTTTTTTTTTCGTTTATTTATGTATTTCTAATGTGGGTGTGACTTCTTTTAAATCGTGTATTTGTTTGTTTTACTGGATCATTTTTTATATTTAATTATGACTGTTATTTACAGCAATTAGAAAATGTTCAGTTTTTCCATCTTTGTGCGATGATATTCAACACTTTTTAGTGTTTTGTTTTCCATCTATTTATCGGTATTGTTACACAATCTTTTAGACTCATACAATTTTCCCTGTTTGTGTAGTATTGTCAATTTTGATGATCCAATACCTATTAAGTTTACTGGTTGGTAGATTCTTATAGACTCTAAATATATATATATATATATATAAAGTCTAAATTGAAAACAACGTTCAAACCTATGATTGCGTTGGATAAAAACCGCAATTTTTATACGTGTGCATGCAAAACAAATTTCTTGGCAGAGGGGTCTAAATACAGCACAAACAACAATTTCCAAAAGACAAAAAAAAAGTGAAAAAGTCTATTTTAACAAAACGCATTTGACTAACAGGTCGAACAACTGATGTTCTTAAACCCTGCTGACTGCCATTTGGCGATTGCCAAATAAATTGATCACCAGATCTAACAAAATGGATCTTAATATTAATTAAATACCAAACAGAAAACAATAAACTTGTGGAAAAGATGGTATACCACAAACATGAGGTGCAAAAATTTGTACACCATATCCGGATTTCGACAATAAATGTCTCTTCAGTGATGTTAGGGATCGAAACGGTATTTGAAAGGCCATATGATTTACCTCAATTTAGGATAGACTCTTGAATTTTAAAGAGTCGAAATAGGATGAACGGATCATATAAACCCGAAGGAAAATATAATACAAGCCCAAACGAAAAAATATAAAAAGTCTAAATTGAAAACAACGTTCAAACCTATGATTGCGTTGGATAAAAACCGCAATTTTTATACGTGTGCATGCAAAACAAATTTCTTGGTAGAGGGGTCTAAATACAGCACAAACAACAATTTCCAAAAGACAAAAAAAAAGTGAAAAAGTCTATTTTAACAAAACGCATTTGACTAACAGGTCGAACAACTGATGTTCTTAAACCCTGCTGACTGCCATTGGCGATTGCCAAATAAATTGATCACCAGATCTAACAAAATGGATCTTAATATTAATTAAATACCAAACAGAAAACAATAAACTTGTGGAAAAGATGGTATACCACAAACATGAGGTGCAAAAATTTGTACACCATATCCGGATTTCGACAATAAATGTCTCTTCAGTGATGTTAGGGATCGAAACGGTATTTGGAAGGCCATATGATTTACCTCAATTTAGGATAGACTCTTGAATTTTAAAGAGTCGAAATAGGATGAACGGATCATATAAACCCGAAGGCAAATATAATACAAGCCCAAACGAAAAAATATAAACAAGTCTAAATTGAAAACAACGTTCAAACCTATGTACGTGTGCATGCAAAACAAATTTCTTTGTAGAGGGGTCTAAATACAGCACAAACAACATTTTCCAAAAGACCAAAAAAGTGAAAAAGTATATTTTAACAAAACGCATTTGACTAGCAGGTCGAACAACGGATGTTCTTAAACCCTGCTGACTGCCATGGCGATTGCCAAATAAACGGATCACAGATGTAACACAATGGATCTTAATTATATTAATTTAATACCAAACAGAAAACAATAAACTTGCGGAAAAGATGGTATATCGCAAACATGAGGTGCAAAAATTTGTACACCATATCCGGATATATATATATATATATAGAGTCTATAAGAATCTACCAACCAGTAAACTTAATAGGTATTGGATCATCAAAATTGACAATACTACACAAACAGGGAAAATATATATATATATATATATATAATTATGTTCTACATGCACTAAAAGTCAAAAGAAAGTAAGCAATCTTCCAAATGTTTTTAATACATATATACAAGTAAAGCGGAGAATGATACAACAATTAAAAGACACTTCATGGAAACAAACGAACTTCAAGCTTCAACGCATATGTTTACGTCTAAGTTTTCGGTCGATTTCATATGAAAAAATCAGGTAGCTGGTAAAAATTTGCCGCTACGCAATGTTGGTGACGTTTTCTGATTTTATGTACCTGTGACCAAAAATCGGCTTTAAATAAGAAAAATACCGGAAAGGTCAAGTGTTCTTTTGTGTAAAAAATATTGAAAGCACTTAAGAGTTTGAATTACATATTGCTTATCGTTTTTTATTCTGTTTTGTCAATCAGCTGTCCGAATACTAACGAGAAAAAAATCTTATATTTTTCGTGTAGACGGGTAACATACTAATGTTGTTAATGGAGTATTCCTCCTATTTTCGGGTACTTACAAGTATATTAAATATAACAATGTTATACCGTTTGGAAGAGGAAAGTTAGGGCTTTGGGATAACATGTGTGTAAGACGTAATTAACGCAATTTTCGGACCTAGTAGACCTTGCAGAAACCATTATTGATTGTAGAAACTAAGGAAAAATATCACTTCCTTAAGGCACAACAGTTCAGAATCCATGTATAGCGAGAGTATTATGTTAACAAATTGATGATAGCGCATATCATTTTGTAAAACAAGTTTGGAAAACTCTTTGAAAGCAAAGAAATCCAATGTAAAAGAGCAAATCTACAAAAATAATATATATTTACTAAAATCTTCCGAAGACCAAAGTAGAAATTCAAATATTACTTCCATCATACAAGTATAATATTCGTATCAGTTAAAATGTTGATCGTTTTTTTACTTATAACAAATCAACTTTAAACTTGGGTACAACTGCAATAAATCAAATTCAGATATTTTTTTATAACTACAAGTTACAGTACAATTCCAAAAATATCGCAATAAATGATATATTCCATACGTCTTTGTTAAATGTTTTTTGATTGATATAAGTATACAAATAGGCCAAACCCCATACAGTGATCGTTTCCGTTGCGGATCGTAGCTGGAACTGCCGGGGAGTTTGCAAATAGGCTTACGGTACATATCCAGTAAACATCGGTAAAATGTGTTTGGAAATACTTTTGCTCATTTATATATACGAAGCAATTTTTTATGAGTTAAACGAATGAAATAATTCTGTGAGGCAACACCAGTCTCTGCCCCCTATTTGTCAGATAGTTGTCTGACATATCGACCTAAATATCTACAAACGGGACTTAATTTATTGACAAGTCGACCTAAATATTTGACAAGAATTTATCTGTAAAGTTTTCTTAAAAAGAAACACATTGAATTTAGCTGAAGAAGAAAAGAGATACTATATTGGAATGTGCGAGTGTGTTATACTGTTTCACCACTTTCCCAGGTTAGGGTAGGGTTTGACACCAGCAAACATGTTTAACCTCACCACATTCTGTATGTGCCTGTCCAAAGCCAGGAGCCTCTAATTCAGTGGTTGTCGTTTGTTGCTGTATATCATATTTGTTTTTTTTCGTTTATTGTTTTGTACATAAATCAGACCGTTAGTTTTCTCGTTTAAATTGTTTTACATTTTTCATTTCGGGGACTTTTATAGCTTAATGTGCGGTATGGGTTTTTCTATAATCGTTGAAGGTCGTACGGTGACCTATAGTTGTTAACTTCTGTGTCATTTGGTCTCTGGTAGAGAGTTGTCTCGTTGGCAATCATACCACATCTTTTTATTTTTCTGTTTAAAGAATTTCTGAGGCCTCGTTTGCCGAGCGATCTAAGATGTTTATCTACAGTAATCACTAGCATGTCAACATTGAGGTTGTTAATTCGATGAACTCCAGTAAGGGCGTTCGACTCCGAACCTTATATATTTACTAAGGATTGCATGTCGGTTTCCTGTCGGTTGCTTTCTCCGGGTACTCCGGCTTCCTCAAGTTCACCAATAAAAAAATGGACACCAATTTTTATTGTTTTTATTTTCTAAAATAATGTCTTATATTGTAATATGCTCTTTGTGAGTCCATGTGATGGAAATAAAACATCTTCTTCTCCTGCTATAACAAATAGTGCTGAAAGTGGCGTTAAACACCAACAATCACTCAATCAATTTTTTAAAGATTTTCCGTTTAATCTCGTGTTACAACACCAGATGAGAGTACGATTGTGTCTTGACTGATTTACATATAGATTTATTTACAGCTCTCTATGTTTGTGCTTCATTTTTACATACATGTAATATCCTTTTTAATCTTAAGTCGCATTATCTGACCTGCCACACACTACCCCTTTATCCGCCGTTGTATTTACTAATTAAGGAGATCATGTTGTACAGAATTGAATATTGTTTGACATCCTGATATATTTTGAACTGACAAACCAATGTCAGTCTGTAAAATATTTTATAAATCAATATCTTATAATGCAATTTCAAATCACAACTTGATGGACCTTTTTTACGATGAAAATCATGTATTTTCTATTTTCAGCTGCATTAAATCATTTTATTTGCCATTACTGTAAATATGTCCTCTTATTATTACTATTCAACAACTGATAAAAACAGAAAGAAATCAAAGTTATGAGAATGTATAACTTGAATCTTCATAAAACAAGCTTTGTCATTAGCACATTCATTTATTCAAACAAGTTGTTTCATCAACACCCTCATTTATTCAATTTCAAATTTTAAACTTTCCATGTTAAGTAAACAATTTCCTCAATAGAAGGACATACTGTCCTAGTTTTTCACATTTGTCCTCCTTGTGTCAATATGGTATAGTATATAACTGTGTTTGTTCAATATCTAAAGAGCAATGTCGATAGCTAGGTTTGGATATACTATTTAATTTGTAAATGAAAAGCAAAAAAAAGGGAATGTTTTTGCATTTGTACTATCAATTCCAAGTTACTTCAATATAAGTCATATAACATGTATTGTACCATACCATGGTGTTTGATTCAGCCGATGTAGTGTTTTAGATTGTTAATATGCTTTTTCTAATAGTGGAAAACTACTTCTTAATTCTGTCATCGGTACCAGTACAAATTCATCACTTTAATTATATTGAAATACATTGGAAATCTACCAAGTTCAGATATAAAGTATAAATTTGCTAAATGCAGAGGTTTCTCACAGGGTAAACCTACGGGTAAACCTACAGCGCTAGACCTTTACATCTCCAGCACTTGACCATAGATTGACAGCGCTAGACTTTTACATCATCAGCGCTTGACTTAAAAAAACACAACTTTTTATCTGCAGGAGGTCAACAGGGCTCCGTATTATCCTGATAATATGCTTTGATAGATACATCTTCATTCTTACATTTGGAGGAAAGAGAATTAAATATTCCTCAAACATCACTACCATTTAATAAAATAGGCTTCACAGTGTGATCAAGAACATTAACACTTGTTTTTATGTTAGGATTTAGTAATAAAAAGTCTTTCCAAAATATATAATAAGCTTAATATATTAAGGACATTAGCACTTAGGTAGGTTACCGTTTTTTTCATAGACAATTCTGAATTGATTAAAAGATATACCAGGAAGTCTCGTACAATTTGGATTTAATATTTCTACATTGTAATGAAATTAAGTTTCGTAATTGTAAAGCAAAATTATCATTCTTTGGATTCTGTGGTCAACCAGAGATAATACAAATAATACATATGGATATACCGTAAATGGGGGAGCGATATACCACAAATAGAGAGCGATATACCACAAATAGGGAGCGATATACCACAAATAGGGAGCGATATACCACAAATACGGAGCGATATACCACAAATAGGGAGCGATATACCACAAATAGGGAGCGATATACCACAAATAGGGAGCGATATACCACAAATAGGGAGCGATATACCACAAATAGAGAGCGATATACCACAAATACGGAGCGATATACCACAAATAGGGAGCGATATACCACAAATAGGGAGCGATATACCACAAATAGGGAGCGATATACCACAAATAGGGAGCGATATACCGTAAATATGGAGCGATATACCACAAATAGGGAGCGATATACCACAAATAGGGAGCGATATACCACAAATAGAGAGCGATATACCACAAATACGGAGCGATATACCACAAATAGGGAGCGATATACCACAAATAGGGAGCGATATACCACAAATAGGGAGCGATATACCACAAATAGGGAGCGATATACCGTAAATATGGAGCGATATACCACAAATAGGGAGCGATATACCACAAATAGGGAGCGATATACCACAAATAGGGAGCGATATACCGTAAATGGGGAGTGATATACCACAAATAGGGAGCGATATACCGTAAATAGGGAGCGATATACCACAAATAGGGAGCGATATACCACAAATAGGGAGCGATATACCACAAATAGGGAGCGATATACCACAAATAGGGAGCTATATACCGCAAATAGGGAGCGATATACCACAAATAGGGAGCGATATACCACAAATAGGGAGCGATATACCACAAATAGGGAGCTATATACCGCAAATAGGGAGCGATATACCGCAAATAGGGAGCTATATACTACAAATAGGGAGCGATATACCACAAATAGGGAGCTATATACCGCAAATAGGGAGCGATATACCACAAATAGGGAGCTATATACTACAAATAGGGAGCGATATACCGTAAATAGAGAGCGATATACCACAAATAGGGAGCGATATACCACAAATAGGGAGCTATATACCGCAAATAGGGAGCGATATACCACAAATAGGGAGTGATATACCACAAATAGGGAGCGATATACCACAAATAGGGAGCGATATACCACAAATAGGGAGCTATATACCGCAAATAGGGAGCGATATACCACAAATAGGGAGCGATATACCACAAATAGGGAGCGATATACCACAAATAGGGAGCTATATACCGCAAATAGGGAGCGATATACCACAAATAGGGAGCTATATACTACAAATATGGAGCGATATACCGTAAATAGAGAGCGATATACCACAAATAGGGAGCGATATACCGCAAATAGGGTGCGATATACCACAAATAGGGAGCTATATACTACAAATAGGGAGCGATATACCGAAAATAGGGAGCGATATACCACTAATAGGGAGCGATATAACACAAATAGGGAGCGATATACCGCAATTTGGGAGATATATACTACAAATAGGGAGCTATATACCGCAAAGAGGGATTGATAAACCGCAAATAGGGAGCGATATACCGTAAATATGAAGCGATATACCGCAAATAGGGAGCGATATACCGCAAATAGGGTGCGCTTGGTAATCGTACATTTGTGTAAAACTTGATTAACATCGCCCTATTTTTATAACTCTTTCCCAGTTATATTTATATATAATAAAAATATACAGTTTAGATTTCCATGTTCTATGCATATTGTATTATCATTTGACACCTTTTTTTTTAATTTCAGTCGCACGCAAAAGACAAGGGTTACAGGTCCAAAAAATAATTTCTATTATCGTGTGTGTTTCATCTCCGATCCTGCTTATTCTAGGAATAGCCATTCTAGCGACACAGGATGGTGCAAGCTACCCTATCGTTGGTGGTTCGCCTATCTATGTCGGAGTCTATGTAAGTACTTATTACCTTTTAGTAAAATAAACTTGTATTGAGAACAACTTTAGATAGGAAACCATGAAGTAGGTTAATAGAAACAATTGAGGCGTGGTTTTTGAACATTTAAATTGAAATAGGTGACCTGTATTAGCTGGTATAATATAACTAACCGGATGTATGCCAAAAACTGGGTAACCTCCCTTTAGAATCAAATTGCTGAAGTACTGAACATCGGATGACCGCAAGTTCTTGTGGATTGTCAAAAGCACTTGTCACAGAAAAAAATCACATCTCTATACCTGAAACTGAGGTTAATGTACAGAGATATTTTTTTCTGAGACAAGTTCGTGCGTGGATGATGAATAAATGACAGGAAATTCAACCTCACCGTAATAACTATTATATTGTAGTGATACAAATCAGTATACACTGGTTTATTGTTCTATATTATATTAATATAACAGTTACATGTACATATAATTTTCATCCATTTGTATATCATTCTATTCAACTATTCTAATAAGAGTGCAGTGCAAGTGCATGGTTTACACTTCTAAAAAATTCGATTTTTCTAAAAGATTGGATATGAGTAGACATTCATATTTTCCCGCAAAAAACAATCTTCTATGCAGAGTTACCGGTCCTTGCCGGGATTGTCGCAAAATGTTCTTGAGATAGTCTTCCGCATGCTTTACCATATCAATGATTTTTTACTTATATATATATCTAACGACAAAACATTTTCATATTATTGATTTATGTTCTAAACAAAAATATTGTTATCAGTATTCATTGAAGAGATGCATTTATAACAAACGATAAGGAATGTTATTTTGCACTCGTTAATATCCGAGTATTTATCATGTTTATAGATCGGTTACAAACCCAAAACGAAAGTTACGTAATGGAAATCTAGGCGATAGCAATACAACGGAATGCCCTCACGGTCATCGCGATGTCTATTCTACTATTCTAATAAGAGTGCAGTGCAAGTGCATGGTTTACACTTCTGTAAAAATTCGATTTTTCTAAAAGATTGGATATGAGTAGGCATTCATATTTTCCCGCAAAAAAAACGTAATGGAAATCTAGGCGATAGCAATACATCGGAATGCCCTCACGGTCATCGCGATGTAAAAATGACAAGAACTGGGTTACCTCTCAGCTCTTTCTGTATAAAATAATGGACGAGTATAGGACACTAGTTTCATTTATACCTAAAGCCTGATTAATAAACGATGGAACATGTATACCTAAAGCTTGGATAATAAACGATCGGACAAAACTTGATAAACAAACATATTTTTGTTTGGAGAAAAAAAATTTGCATAGATTTAAAAAAAAAACTTTTTCTTCCTTTTCAAATCCTTCAGGTTTTTTTTACAAGAAGTACTATAAAAAAAAGTCCGTAAAATTATATGATATTTTTTCTGTAATCATCGATCATACATTTATACTTGCTATATACAAATACTTGGTAATATTTCATGTATACATTGTATATTTTAGGGATTTGTTTTAGGATGCATAGGAATTATAGCCAACTCCGTGGCTATTGAATCTATAACAACGCAGGAAGAGACAGCTAAGCAAAGAAACCTGGTATGTGATATAATATAATAATCTTTATTTTTATTATAGGCTATTGAAAGATAGACTTGAATCGTTGAAAACAAACACAATCACATAAATACAAAAATAATACGCTGCAGTACCATCTGGGTCTTAGATAACTATCAAACAATAAATAAACAAATATATTACAAAAACAAATGAGAAGAACTCGGATATACACACTTAAATGTTTGGAAAAGGCATACGGTCCTGAGAGATCATATATTTAGGGCTCTAAATTTTGATTGGTGAACCGTTAAGAATGCATGATATTTACCAATGCAAACAGAAATTTGTTTGAATCATATTAGACAGGTCATATACTCAAAAGCCTTGTTTTTCAGAAGTGGTTTAGTTTAACAAAGAACAATGTGTGTGTGTGTGGGGGGGGGTGTGGAAGTGTATGGGGTGTAACAGAAGTTAATGTTAGGCATCACGAGTTAATCGCTACATTTACTGTTTTGTTAAAGTTCGTCATTGTTCATGTATATCAAAATTATATATAATATTGAGCATATATTCTTCAACTAAAGCCGTGTATTTTATTTTGTTCACAGTGGAATGGTTTTTTTGGATTGTTGTGTGCTTCGTTTGGAGTTCTTGGATATCCCTCGAGTGAAGTTATTAGAGGAGCTATCAGTTGCGCTGAAAAAAAGAAGGAATGTGGAAATTCACATCAAGACACTTTGATGGCGTTGTTTATTGTGGCTTCCATTTTGGTGCAAGTGATTAATTGTAGTAACATCATTCTGTTATGTTATTGGCGCAAATTTCGTGGAAAAACATCACAAGGTCCATGTGTAACAGCTAAAACTTCTCCTCCAAAATATACATAGGGTATAGATAGAGACATATACAACAAATTGAATTTTTTGTCTGGCATGGAGCAAGTAAATGCGTCCGTTTTATTCTCTTCACAAACACCTAGAGCAAGGAAATACACACGAAGCTTTGAGCGGGGGAATACACCACTTTTAGATTTCTGTTATATTGTAAATTATCTATTAGCTTTAATTTATTGAGTTAAATTTAATTATGTGTTGTTGTGACACATACGTTATAGTTAGCTTCTCTTGACATTGTAAACTAATGAATGAATGATCTTTATCTCTCTAGTATAGACAATGACAACATTGTATGTAAACTAATGAATGAATGATCTTTATCTCTCTAGTATAGACAATGACAACATTGTATGTAAACTAATGAATGAATGATCTTTATCTCTCTAGTATAGACAATGACAACATTGTATGTAAACTAATGAATGAATGATCTTTATCTCTCTAGTATAGACAATGACAACATTGTATGTAAACTAATGAATGAATGATCTTTATCTCTCTAGTATAGACAATGACAACATTGTATGTAAACTAATGAATGAATGATCTTTATCTCTCTAGTATAGACAATGACAACATTGTATGTAAACTAATGAATGAATGATCTTTATCTCTCTAGTATAGACAATGACAACATTGTATGTAAACTAATAAATGAATGATCTTTATCTCTCTAGTATAGACAATGACAACATTGTATGTAAACTAATGAATGAATGATCTTTATCTCTCTAGTATAGACAATGACAACATTGTATGTAAACTAATGAATGAATGATCTTTATCTCTCTAGTATAGACAATGACAACATTGTATTGAGCATATTCAATAACATCAACATGTACATTTCGATATTCCTAGAAAATGTATATAATACTCCTATTAAAACATGAATGTTTGGTATGTTTCATACATATAGGTAACGCACTACCTCAGCTGTCTTGAAGGAAATATATTGTTTTCCAAGCAAATACCAATCAATCTATGAATCCTAGTATGTGTTACGTGTGTGGATCATTTTAATCAGTATGAATAGGTAATAGTTCTGTTGGTATTCATGAAATCCGAAACAAGATATAAACATTCAAATATATATTTTTATACAATGTATAGATGTATTGAACATTATCTGAGTATAGATTTAAACGAATAAAATTATCAAGAATATAAACCGCATGGCTTTAACTATTTCTTTACATATTCAATAAATGTATTGTGCATGAGTTACGTAGACATTGTAGATAAGACAAGACACTATTTTAAGTCTCACCTCTTACAAAACATTTACACATTGTAATGATTACAAGAGATATAGTCATATAATAAAATATTGAATCTGAATCTACTCAGATTTATCAAAACGCTGGTTATTGAACTGAATTAGTTTGTTAAATGTTCTTAAATAAACAATGTAAGTGTTGTTTGCTTTGCAATTAGAAATTAAAAGTAATTATTGCATGAGCATACTAGTAGTAAAATGGTTTATTCCCGATTGTCCCACTTTTTAAAATTTTAGAGTTCTGATTGTCCCACATGAAAAGTTCTGATTGTCCCACATTGTTTTATGAATAAAATGTTCTTAGATAAACAAGGTAACTGTTGTTTGTTTTGCTAAAAAAACAAGAAATAATTATTGCACATTTAATATTAATTTTATAAAAGTATTAAAAAAAATGTTTTTTAAATAATTAGATTAATGCACTTTTGATTAAACAAATATAATATTTCTGATTTATGAAATATATCTACAATGTTACGTTATTCATAAAACAAATGTCAATACCGTAATTTTAATTCCTTTTTCTCTGTAAAGTTTTTGAATAAATTTAGAAATAATGCATGCAATTTCAAAAAAAAGGTATAAACTCATTTACATTCTACACTCTACATGAACTTGTTTACTAGGGAAGTCGGAGGACATTAATACAACATTCTCTGCACTATTGAAGACTGCTTACACCCAACGTCAGATTCACCTGAACCCAACAACTGTCTTTATTGTTACGAAGCTGATGTCTATAATTTTGCCAGATCAGCCTTTCCAAGAATCACTATTAAAGGTTGTTTTTCCAATATTCCCATTGCTTTTGCAGTCAACAGGACTCTTCACCAACTATAAAGTAGAAACAGACTTCCATAAAAAATGAGAAGATGTGGTATGATTGCCAATGAGACAACTCTCCCAAAGAGACCAAATGACACAGAAATTAACAACTATAGGTCACCATACGGCCTTCAACAATTAGCAAAGCTCATACCGCATAGCTATAAAAGACCCCAAAATGGCAAATGTAAAACAATTCAAACGAGAAAACTAATGGCATAATTTATGTACAAAATAATGAACGAAAAATAAATATGTTACACAGCAACAAACGGCAACCACTGAATACCAGGCTCCTGACTTGGGACAGGCACATACAGAATTTTGTGGGGTTAAACTTATTTGAAGGCGCCAACCTTCCCAATAACCTGGAACAGTGTTGAAACAGAACAACATAAGAATAAACTATAAAAATCAGTTGAAAAAGGCTTTTCTCATCAGATGGGTACAAACAGAAACACATCTAACAAAAACACAGAGTGGACGTGGACGGCTACTTATGCATCACCACAACAAAGACACTGAGTACTGTAACAGGTCTGAGAGTATTCGCAGTTACTGACAGCTAGTTCAAAGCCAATAAAAACTAATTAAAAAAAATATGCATCTAAGACTAAAATTTTATGACTTCATATTATATTCCGTGTTTGATGATACTATAATTGTACCTACTATGTGCAAAATGAAATATGTAAATATTATTATTTGTTCATGTTTTTTTCATATTTTATAAGTTACATTGTTTAGTGACCTTTAATTAACTGCAACACACTATAAAAACAAATTAATCACTATCAAAACAATTCCCAATTGTCCCACATTTAAACTTCCCAATTGTCCCACAAACATATTCCCGATTGTCCCACAAAATTTCATTACTTTTTTACCTGTAATTTCAAAAAGTGGGACAATCGGGAAGACACCAGTAAAATCCATATAAATATTAAATGTTGAATTAATCATCAGTAAAACTGTACTTTTGATTTAATAATATTACATTTCGAAGTTATAAAAGAGATCTACTATGTAAGGTTTATTTATTAAACAAAGTTTTAATTCCATTAACGTAAATTTTCAATTATATTTTTTTGTAAGTTTTCATTTTTTCTTTTATTCATCTTTCTATTTTCATAAGCATTTTCGATTTTATGAATAAATTGACATTCAGAGCAATCTGGTCGATTCGGGAACGAGTGACCGAAATGTTGTCCCATGTGAAAGTATTTCTCTATAATACACAATTTTTTTTTTAATGAAACGTTTATAATTTTTATTTTTCCTTTACAACTTATGTTATTGGAGTCTATTTTACCTACTATGAAGTTAAAGTCCCCGGTTTAAATATATTTATTTTTGTATTATATTATTTTTAATTTGAACAGTAGTTTAGAAAATTTCACAAAACAAAATAAGATATAAAATACCAACTTTTTTATGCTTATTTCAAATTTTATGAGGGATTTCTTTATTACGTGTAAACTGTTAATTGTGATTCATAACAATACAGGAACAGGTCTGCTATCAAAGGGGTGCAATTGGTACCCATAGGAATGCATACAACCTTTCGATAAACTTTGTTGCCGAAACGTTTAAAGATATTGTCAAGAAAAAAAATCACAGCTTTAATCATCTCCTCACAGTTTCAGTAAGTATATCTAGCATATTTCCCTTTTTCATTACAGAAGAAGGCTTTATATTAGATGCAGCGAATATATCTACAACTAGATTGTTCAAAGGACCATTTAATCAATTAAGAGAACTTATGTTTGATAAGATTTTGTGGTAGTGTAGTGTACAGAGTTAAACAATCTGTCAACCGAATTGAACGGACCATCAAAAGCACGTAATTTCTTCAAAACATCTAAAGAGTTTTTGACATTAAAAAACAGTTAATTCCAATATTATTATATGCATATTACAAAACTTAACATCAACCTCTTTAATAGAAGTTAGGAAACTAGTTAACAGCACAGAAATATGAAAATAAGGAGATGTGGTATGATTGCCAATGAGACAACTATCCACCAAAGTTTAAATGGAGTGGATGTAAGCAATTATAGGCAACCATACGGGCTTCTATAATGAGAAAAACCCATACCGTATAGTCGGCTATAAAAGGCTTCGACATGAAAAATATGAAACAATTCAATTGAGAAAACTAAAGGCCTAATTTATAACAAAACAATTTACGAAAAACAAATAAGACCGACATGAACCAAAGACAACCATTGAACTACAGGCTCCTGTCTCGGGACAGGCACATAAAGAATGTGGCGGGGTTAAACATATCTGTGAGCGATCAACCCTCCCTTTAACCTGTATGGGACAGTTGTGTAACAACACAATATAAGAAAAAACTATAAAAATAAGTTGAAAAAGGCTTAGAGATTAGTCATAGACCACTTACTAGAAGCTGAGATGAAACGAAATTGGAGCGCGTTTTTCTGTAGTTTAGGTAGCCAATTCAAAATAAGGACTTAAAATTTATCACAGAAGACCTTAAGCTGAGCTGTGGTAGTGACAGAATTATTTACCATTTGAATTTTTGTGGAGCGCACGGACTTGCATGTAGATCAATGTATAATTTCATTCTTAAGGACTTCCGAGTAGTAATTACATCTGTACGTCATACCACTACGTGCACTTTGTTGACTGCTTTGTTGGCTGGTACAAACACGAAATGCTTTGCAAGTACTTGAATTTTGTTTTTAATTCTAGAAATAGGCGTATTGCTTACAATTTTATTAATTTATAAACTAAGTTATTTTCGAAATGTGATATACGAATATCCACAATAATTAGACATTTATTTAAATAGGAACCAAGTGACTTTTTGTCAGATTTCTACCGTTTACACCAATTTTTTCATTAGGATAAAAGAGCATCTTTAATAACCTGATGACACTCTTTCGAATTTATTTTCAACGGGGGACGATATTTTGGTCCTTTTTTTTTTAAAGTTTGAGGTCCCCTGTAATTACTTGGCCATAAGGAACATTTCGAATTTCGATATTTCATCGTCTCATATTGAAGAAATATTGTTTTCTATACTGACATCTGATGTAACTGACGTACAAGTTATAGATATTTCATATCTTTTGGATAGTTTTGCGGTGTTTCGAAATTATATCATAGCTTTTGTTGAAACCCCCGGCAATAACCTCACGAGACGAAGTCGAGTGAGGTTGCCGGGGGGTTTCAACAAAAAACTATGGTATAATTTACGAAACACCGCAAAACTATCCTAAAAATATGGAATATCTGTTTTAGTCTATCGCGTCTTTTGCTGTTTAAAATTGTATATTTCATATATTTTTGTTTGTTTACTTTAAAAATAGTTTTGATAAGAATCAGTTAAATAACTTTTCGGGCCTTACACATAAAGCTCCGCCTACTTTCTAAAATAAGCACGGGCTTCTGAAACAGCGGGAAAATCAGTAAGACGAGATGTTTCGACAGCGATGGATGCACATTTACATTGGTGACGGATAACGTTACAGACGAACAAATGTTAAGGGCATACGATACAGTAGCAGGGGCAGATAATAACGTTTTCAAAAATTTTCGTGTTGTTTTCGCGACGTTGTTAATCAGAACGTTGTAATTTCGCGATGTTTCTAATAAGAACGATTATATTTCGCGACGTCGCTTTAGATGTAGTCACATTTGCGGAAATCCACTGACGTCATAATCCCGATTGCGTGAATTTGAAAAAAGTACGCACAATGAAAATCGGCCAAATCACGAGAATTGTTCTATTTATTCAAGGAAGTCAACAATATTTACTTCGAATGGGAAAAAAATCAAATCCACATTCTTAATTTTGTATGTCTGTTATTTCATATAGGAAATGAATAAGAGATATGAAAAACATAAGACGTCGTTGAGAGAGAAACCCAACTACACAAAACAAAAACAAAATATAAGTAATTTATATAGTAACTTCACCATTTGGCTAACTCTAAATCGTAATGAGAATTGTACGGATAAATTTAACAGAGACTATCAACAAAATGACAAAAAAACGTAATAAATAATGACAGCGCATCTTACTGTTCCAGACTTTGAAAAGGTACATTAAAGAGTTTAACCGCATTTTAGAATTTAATACGTGGAATATATAAGTGTATGAAGAAGAAGTGTCATTTAAAATGACTCAGTTTTAAGCCCCGTATTATAGACCAAAAACAAAAACGCACCCGTTAATGTGCTAAGCATTATCTTCTATGTACATATTGAGAGAGAAAAATCGGCACACAGGAATTAGGTATTTGACAGACCAGAGTTGCAACTCATTGATGTTAAGTTACTGACCAAATACGAAGTCTTTTTGTAAAGTAGTTTCTCAGATAAAAAACAAAATATTTCTTGGACCGGACAAACAATGTGGTTGCACTCACTCCCAGATTGAAGGTATAATACAGACAAGTAATTCAATGATTATATGTACCGTAATAAAAAAAATACCCTGAAGACAAGCTTAGGTAACTTATCTATTGATACAGAATCATTAAATTTCATGCTCTAATATCGACTGCTGTATGAAATGTTATACTAAACTGTAATGGACTAAGCTGACCCGATTTAATGTGGGTATGATTTTGTGATCATGTAATGCCTATAGAGTAGGTCGTTAGTTTTCTTGTTTGAATTATTTCACATTTTCATGTCGGGGCTTTTTAAAGCTGACTATACGGTGTGGCTTTTTCTTTTTCTTTTTTTTTTGTGTTGAAGGCCGTAGGGTGACCTTTAGTAGCATTTATCTTCGTCATTTGAACTATGGTTGATAGTTGTCTCTTTTGCAATCATACCAAATGTCCTTATTTTTATATCATCCCCTTTCTTTATAATTGTTGCACATTTTGTCATGTCGGGGCCTTTTGAATAATTAAAACTATGTTCAAGCTGTGTTGTCTACATGAATTGTATGACTAATGTCAGACAGAGATGCAAATTAATTTTTTTATTATATATATCTGTTTTGTTTCCGAACATTTCTTTTCTAAAAGTAATTTACTAGAATACTTTTCTATCCAAGTTTGAGTTCGTAACAATTCATAAAGGTTTGGGAAATATGATGCTATTTTACGAGGAGCCAGCTTTATTAATTTTCATGATTAATATCATTGGTTTAAAAAAAAACACCTTGGCTCTACCACTGAAATTGACAACGTCACGTGAGTAGTGAACGGCGGGAAAGATTTCAAGACGTTGTTGCGAATAAAACTTATTCCAATTTAGTTTGGCGCCTAAAAATTAAGGTTTATTGCTTTGAAAAAACAAGCACATGGACCCCCAGTTTTTTCTTTTGCAATCGATCAAACTCTGTTTCAAGAACGCTCCGCCAAAATTTTAAGAAAACATCAACGATAGATTTTTTTCTGCACTTCTGTGTAGACGCAAAAATATTTTCAACTTCTTTATTTCACTTGTATTAAAAGAATTTAGGATATAATTATTTATTTCAACCGTTAACTTGTTACAGCATGCTGATGCTATGGATCAAGGGAACATTTTACAAAAAACCCGGTTAAATTATGACTGTTCGTTCAAAAGTATTGGTAGTTTCCTTAAAAGTCCTTATTTTTGAAATTTCAGGGTTTTTCCTTCAAATATGCAAATTTCGAACCAAATTATCTCAAAAAGTAAGTCATGAAGGTAAATTTTTCTTTGCATATTTCAAAAGTACACATCGAAATTGACCTTCTACCAAAATTTCAAGAAAAAATCAACGAGGGATCTCTACTGTATCATATGCCCTTAAGAACTGCAAAGGGTTTTTTTTTTTTTATTTTATCAAAATGTTCGAATGTTTTAATTTTTTAATATTCATTTATAATTCTGAGGAAATTAATTTCACAAGAATCTTTTTGAGAGTTTGGATGAATCATTCCACATTTTAATTTGTACCTGAAGCCCAAGTCGTACATTAATTAAAAGGAATTTCAAAATTTTCATGATTGAAATCACATGTTGACTAGCAATAATTTACACAAAATAGTAAGCTTCATTTAGAAAAACCAGACGCTATCTAATTTTAACATTTCAACATTATTGTTATTACTTGAGCAACCTCGTTAAAGTCTAGATGTCAGCAATGTATAACAAATCGGGTGCGGGTCCAGGATTTTGAAAGGGGGATCTAGCAAGCCAACATTTGGAGTAATACAATGAAAAGTCTATGCATTTACCAAATATGAAGCTCCTTAAAAGTGGCTTGCTCCATGCCCCCTCCCCCCAAAAAGCCGCCTCGGCAAATTCAAACCTTTACATGTAGCTGTACAGTGAAGCCTATGGAATACAAACCAAGTATAAATCTCAATAACCGAAATCAACTTATATTTTCCAGTATAATATATACACATTTATATATTTTTTTAAACTTTATTTGTTTATTTGTTCTAGGAGCTGAGTTGGTGTACGTGGGTTCGATTCCCACCCTAGGCATTCATTTATATCGGCTGGTGCAAAGCGGGCAGTTTAGTTTAGTGGCCCCGCACTGACTGTTGTTCAAATATCAAAAAATTCAGGCAGCCAGGTTTTGCTATCTTTTTTTTTCTCGAAGACCCTATACAACAAAACCATGGTATAATTGGGAAAATTATACCATAGATATCTATGGTATAATTTTCGGTTATTGAGATTTATACTCCGGTTGCATTCCCATAGGTTCCATTGCACAGCTATAGGCAGTCCTCTTCTCTGGTTTTAATACGTATAAGAAATTATAGGTGGCTCTATGTTATCAAAATATGGATGTATCAAGTTTTGATAGATTAATATGGGGACGAAGTCCCCAACAACAGTAAACAAATCAATAAAACGAAAAGTCAATATAAAAATAAATATACTAATGAACACAAAATCGTTGACTTTTCTAACAGTTGACTTTGCATTACCCTGTTTCTGTTCTGTTGGACACTGCCATGTTGTAAGTCATACGATTTCTCGCAAATTTGTATAACTGATTACCAAAAGAATCATGAGGACGAACATTTCATGAACTTACTCTGTATGTGTACGTAATAAAATTAGTCTATAGCTATTCGACATACGATTTGATAGCAAACCACGTGACATATTGGATCGGCATAGCAAATCAAATCGCACTAGGGCCAGGTATGGGAATTTTTAAGCTGAGGCAATTATGTTATTGTTGGTATGATAGTTCTTTGAAATTGGTTGCAATGAATTGGGGGTATATTTGTTTATTTATTATGAAATTGACAGCAATGTAATTTTTATGAATTATCAGTAATGTTCATAATTTTTTTTATTAAATAAATGAAGTACTGCTGTTATACCAGTAAAGACAAAAATTAACTCATAATAAAAAAATGAAATATTACGCACATTAATTATAGAAACAAACAAATTAGCATCAATAACCATCAACACTTTCCTAATGTACACAATGAAAATTGTCATCTCTTCTGTTACTTCTCACTACCTATGGAACATCTATATAAAAGAAAGTAACTATTTCTCAAAGGTACCCAATGTTATCACATAGTGTCCACTTTGTGAAGATCAAACTCACACTCTTTCATGCCTATTCTGGCATAAACTACCTACATACTCATCATTTAACCCATTTTTTCCTAATATTGAGTCCTCGATGTTGCAATCCTGGTTTCTGGAAATCAACAACTTTCAAAAATTCTTACTCTTAAATTTTTTGTTCTCTTCCTGTTAACCTGGTCTTTTGCAGTAAATCTTTTTACTAAATATATCTTGCAATAAATAAATTTTTTATCTTTCATGAATAACCAACTTTCCTAGACTTACCATGGGTACTTCTACTTTATGCTCCTTCATCTTCTTAACAAAAAATGTTAATAAAACAATACTCATAAAAAGAGAACTTAGTGCAGAAAAATTAGGTATTGTTACCCATGACATCAACAGTAGGTACAAATCAAGGCAAGAAATATAACAGTTTATGTAGCAGGATCAATTCTGCAGTGGTTTCACAAGAAATGGGGCATTATACAGCTGATGGTGTGGTAAGACTGTTATAAACGATACACGTTAAACCTACTTTCTTAGCTTTAAGAAAGGGTAAGTACTCTGCAGACAGCCAGACGCTTGGCAATAAATACTACATATATATATGTAGAAATATAAGTTCTAAATATAGGTACACAATAATCTTAAATGTTTCAAATCAGATGTATTTTTTTCTGAATATTCTATCAAAATTTACCAATTGTGTGACTATCTGTCATTACATGAACTATTAATCAATGAATATGAAATTTGGAATTAAACGTGAAGGGAGATTGCATTACTTATCTTTTTATTTCATTTCTATAACCTTGAAATCACTCTAATTGGGTCAACTCAACTTGGTTTTTAATTTAAATTAAAAAAAAGAGAGACAGGATGTTTATAAAATAAGGGTTTTATTTCCAATTAATATACAAATTAACGTGTAAATAGTTTTTTTTAAAGTACTTCATACTTCCTGCACAAATATAAGGCACATACATGTGCAATAACAAATTGTGTTCTTCGTTGATTTACCTAATGAAATTATCTAATTTTCTTTCATTTTGGGTGCTTTTTTCGCGGGAAAATCGTGTAAAGTCGTAAGGTGCTTGTCATTTGGAAATTCTTTAAAATACGATTTGCTTGGCCTGTATAATCTGGTAGCAATGGAGGCCGGAAGAGGGGTTTTCTCAAGTTCAGAAATGTTTTTAGGTATCGAATATGTAATGGCCATTAGAAAATCTATATTTTTGTACAATACTTAACAATAATAATGAAAACATATCTTTAGAGATCTAATTTTATTTAGAATTATAGAAAAATACGTATTCTGCACTAATATTATACGCTAGTATTAGCGTATTGACGCCAGAAGGGTGTTTACTTACGTGATAAGGGACTGTGCATATTTATAAGGCAGGTGGGACCGGTGCAAACCACAGTTGGACAAACACGTTTTTCATCCACTTCAGACATAGGGTCTCCACTTTTTTCACCTTTGGTGACCATAGGACTATTCAAACTATTGCAATCAAACAAAACATTTTATTTAACTAAATATCCAAACAAGAAACATTTACAAAATAGTTTATATTATAACAAAAAAAAAAACATTGTTAACTTAATATATTTATTTGTTATATTTAAAAGTATAGTTTGTTTGTTAAAATATATTAAATTAAAAATAAATGTTGCTTACCTTTTTTTCTAAGTGTACATGTGCTCTATAATAGGAAACACACTTAAATGATATTTACTATTATAGTAATTGTTTGATTGGCAAATTTTATTAATGTTCAATTATGACATATCGGCTCTTTATTTGTTTGGCTTAAATAATCATCTTTAATATATTTTCATGGAAATACATGATATTTTCATATTTAAAAAGCAAGTAATAATCATCAAATGAACAAATTAAATGAAGAAACCTCTTTCTAGGTAAATAGGCAAATTTGAACAACATATACATATATTTTATTACAATGTAGATGTACTGTTCATACCCTATATTAAACTTTCCACTTTAATATTTCATAAATGTAAGAACCGTTCTTGCATGTTTTTACATGTATATAGCTTCATAATTAACAAAAGAAAAATCAAATATTCATGACAATAAATTTCAACAAAAAGAGGCAAATATAATAGACAACTTTCGAGTTCGTTGCATTTCCGTCAAAACTTTGGTTTTAGTGAACATCATTCATGCGTTTAGGGGCATCGTCACTTCCTTTCCCATGTTGAGCGAGCGGTTGCAAAAATATGATGCTTTATTGCACGAATTATTCGGCAAATTAAATTCTTATAATTGACAACCAGCACTGCTGTTATTAGAGAATTGTGATTAAGTACCTACGGAACAAACATTATTTCTAGTTTATCCTGCACAATGACGCTTGGTGAACGTTAATAGTGCAGGGATACAGGCGATCCCCTCTATCTGGTAAATGACGTCATAAAGGCGCGCATAATTGAAGATTTTTTTCCGGTGAAGGACATAACTCGAAAGTGGTCTATTGGAGTACATACAAAATTCAATTCTTCTATTCTTCAAATATAGCAAGTGTAAAAGAGTTTATTTCTTTAAAGGGCGTTAATACATGTTTTCTTCAATTTTTATTTTTGCAAGTTTAACATCACATCTACAATAGAAATACTTTTATTTTTTTGAAGGTCTACATTAAAATAAATATATTAGGATCAAAATTTGTATTTGAAACTTTTCTTTTCATAGAAGACTTCAATAAGTCAATAAAGTCATTTGACAAAATTAAAGCAAATTCTAGATTTCCTTTCTTACGATTTGAAGCCCAAATAATGCCAATGCTAAATATAAGGTAAACGTCCAAGAAAGCTTTTCTCCCCATTTTTTAAACATCAAATATCTCGAAAAGGAGTTCCATATCCTATCATAATTTTTAGCTAATCTGTTCCTTATAAACTTATGCTGTTCTGATTTATAGTATCAATTTTAAATTCCAGATATTTTTTAAATTTCAATCTTAAATGTCTTTTTTATTGTAATATTGATCATGTACATACTTAAACAACAATATTCAAAAACAGTTTTCATTTATTACTTCATCACCAAGAACATCCTATCCCTTAGTACCAGATTAATTCAGATAAAGTTTATAGGACACATACTTTTCTCTGCGTGCAAGTCATAGGACATTGGGTTTTTACAGCCGAAATCAGTATAGGACATTCCCTTTTTTTTTTTGGTCATAACCAGAATTTGCACCGGTCCCACCTGCCTGATAAATATTGCACGGTCCCTTAGTACAATAAAAAAAAAGTCCGGCCGAACTGACAAGAAGGCCTATTACGGTAGGATATGTTACAGCATGAACTTTGAAGAAATTATTTCGTAAATAAATATACGTTTCTGACTTTAGTTTTTTCTTTTTTTCTCTCAAAAAGGTCTCTGTCGTAGTCGGCTATCAATATGACGTCATCCGCAGCACAGTAAGATAGAACAATGTACGCGCCAAGCAACCTTTTATATTGTCAAAGGGCTTAGGCTGTGATGATAAAACTAAGAATATCAGAGATACCAGGCTTATAATTGTGTACGTCAGACACGCGTCTACAAAACATTCATCAGTATATGGAAACAACATTCCTTAGGTATTCGGAAACATGTTGTGTGTTTTTGTTGTATAAATTTACTATTTATACTTGATGCTAATGGACTCGGGTTTCAATGACTTCCTTTAGACACTCATACATGCTTTATGCACAATGATTCGATAAACTAAATTACTATATAACGATTAAGGTAACACGTTCTGGTGTAAATGTTTACGATAATTTTAAAACCTCACAATAATACACACATATGACTGTCTAATTATCGCTTGTTTTCACCGTATAATGCCTCTGAATAAGACGGTGGCGAATGTGAAAAAGTAGTTCCATATCCTGCTCCAGTATTTGAGAATTGCGTTCCTTGTGTATTGGGATAATACGGTTGCTGCTGCGATTGGCTTAACATTGCAATTTGATGTTGTTGTTGTTGTAATAATAGCTGCATTTGAGCCACTCGTTCTTGTCTTGACTGGAACAGAAAAGCTTTTCTATAGTAACAAAACATTATACACACGGTGAGGCAACACATAAAAAGACCGATTGCTGTTACAATAGCAACAGCATTCATTCCTATTTGTAGGTCAAAACTTGTACTACATGTAGTACTCTCTTCATTCCTACTTGCACATGCTGCCATTGACCATGCTGAATATCCAATACACAATCCCATAAATGAGAAAGACGTTACAGCAAAAACATAAAACACGATAACCTGAAAAGAAAGATGTTCATTTTAATTTGTGTATTTTTATTATTAAGTATATATATCTTTTCAACCCCCCCCCCCCCCCCCACACACACACACACACACACACCCAACTCATACACAGAAAGACAGACACACATGCATCAAAATAATTGAGTTCTGTGTTCGCTAATTATTGTTTTATTTTCATGCTTTAGAAACGTCTGTTTTATTTGCAACAGAAAAGTTCAAAATTCCTGTTACATTGTACTGCACTCAATCTGCAGAATCTCTGATTTTTTAATCTCTTCCTTATTACACAATAAATATTTGCCACAGGATTTACTCATACAACAATATTTCAATTAGTTCTATCCAAAAGCAGTTGCTACTAATTTACCCTAACTTTTGTCAATATCTCTTGTTAGAAATGTCACTTGTAAGATAGTCTCTTGTTCGATATGTCTCTTGTTAGACATGTCTCGTGTTAGATATGTCTCTTGTTAGACATGTCTCGTGTTAGATATGTCTCTTGTAAGATATGTCGCTTGTAAGATATGTCGCTTGTTAGATATGTCTCGTGTTAGATATGTCTCTTGTTAGACATGTCTCGTGTTAGATATGTCTCTTGTAAGATATGTCGCTTGTAAGATATGTCGCTTGTAAGATATGTCGCTTGTTAGATATGTCTCGTGTTATATTTGTCTTTGTAAGATATGTCTCGTGTGAAATACGTATCTTGTGAGATATGTCTCTTGTAAGATATCATGTATCTTGTGAGATATGTCTCGTGTTATATATGCCTCTTGGAAGCTATGTCTCTTGAAAGATATGTCTCTTGTTAGATATGTCACTTGTGAGATAGGTCTCTTGTTAGATAGGTCTCTTGTAAGATAGGTTTCTTGTCAGATATGTCTCGTGTTAGGTCTCTTGTTAGATAGGTCTCTTGTAAGATAGGTTTCTTGTCAGATATGTCTCTTGTTATATGTCTCTTGTAAAAGATGTTTCTTGTAAGATATGTCGCTTGTTAGATATGTCTCTTGATAAATATGTATCTTGTGAGATATGTCTCTTGTAAAATATTTCTCTCGTAAGATATGTCTCTTGTTAGATATGTCTCTTGTTAGAAATGTCTCTTGTAAGATATGTCTCTTGTAAGGTATTTCTCTTATTAGATATGTCTCGTCTTAGATATGTCTCGTGTTAGATATGTCTCTTTTTAGATATGTCTCTTGTTAGATATGTCTCTTGTTAGATACGTCTCTTGTAAGATAGGTCATTTGTCTGATAGGTCTCTTGTTAGATAGGTCTCTTGTAAAATATGTTTCTTGTAAGATATGTCTCTTGTTAGATATGTATATTGTAAGATAGGTCTCTTGTCAGATAGGTTTCTTGAAAGATATGTCTCTTGTAAGATATGTCTCGTGTGAAATATGTCTCTTGTCAAATATGTTTCTTGTAAGATATGTCTCTTGTTAGATATGTATCTTGTGAGATATGTCTCTTGTGAGATATGTCTCTTGTAAAATATGTCTCTCGTAAGATATGTCTCTTGTTAGATATGTCACTTGTTAGATACGTCTCTTGTAAGATAGGTCTCTTGTCAGATAGGTCTCTTGTTAGATATGTCTCTTGTTAGATATGTCTCGTGTGAAATATGTCTCTTGTAAAAGATGTTTCTTGTAAGATATGTCTCTTGTTAGATATGTATCTTGTGAGAAATGTCTCTTGTGAGATATGTCTCTTGTAAAATATGTCTCTCGTAAGATATGTCTCTTGTTAGATATGTATCTTGTAAGATATATCTCTTGTAAGGTATGTCTCTTATTAGATATGTCTCATGTTAGATATGTATCGTGTTAGATTTGTCTTTGTAAGATATGTTTCTTGTAAAATATGTCTCTTGTAAGATATGTTTTTGTAAGATATGTCTCGTGTAAAATATTTCTGTTGTAAGATATGTGTCTTGTTAGATATGTCTCTTGTTAGATATGTCTCTTGTTAGATATGTCTCTTGTAAAATATGTTTCTTGTAAGATATGTCTCTTGTTAGATATGTATCTTGTAAGATAGGTCTCTTGTCAGATAGGTCTCTTGAAAGATATGTCTCTTGTAAGATATGTCTCGTGTGAAATATGTCTCTTGTCAAATATGTTTCTTGTAAGATATGTCTCTTGTTAGATATGTATCTTGTGAGATATGTCTCTTGTGAGATATGTCTCTTGTAAAATATGTCTCTCGTAAGATATGTCTCTTGTTAGATATGTCTCTTGTTAGATATGTCACTTGTTAGATACGTTTCTTGTAAGATAGGTCTCTTGTCAGATAGGTCTCTTGTTAGATATGTCTCTTGTTAGATATGTCTCGTGTGAAATATGTCTCTTGTAAAAGATGTTTCTTGTAAGATATGTCTCTTGTTAGATATGTATCTTGTGAGAAATGTCTCTTGTGAGATATGTCTCTTGTAAAATATGTCTCTCGTAAGATATGTCTCTTGTTAGATATGTATCTTGTAAGATATATCTCATGTAAGGTATGTCTCTTATTAGATATGTCTCATGTTAGATATGTATCGTGTTAGATTTGTCTTTGTAAGATATGTTTCTTGTAAAATATGTCTCTTGTAAGATATGTTTTTGTAAGATATGTCTCGTGTAAAATATTTCTCTTGTAAGATATGTGTCTTGTTAGATATGTCTCTTGTTAGATATGTCTCTTGTTATATATGTCTCTTGTAAAATATGTCTCTTGTTAGATATGTCTCTTGCAAGATAGGTCTCTTGAAAGATAGGTCTCGTGTTAGATGTCTCTTGTAAGATATGTGTCTTGTAAGATATGTGTCTTGTTTGATATGTCTCTTGTTAGATATGTCTCTCGTTAGATATGTCTCTTGTTAGATATGTCTCTTGTAAGATATGTCTCTTATAAGATATGTGTTTTTCCTGCATGTTACTCAGTATCAAAATAAGGAGATGTGGTATGATTGTCATGTAAACAAATATCCACAAACGTTCAAATAAAGTGGATGTTATCAATTAAAGGCAAACGTACGGTCTTCAACAATGAGAAAAACCCATACCATATAATCGCTATAAAAGGCCCCGACATGAAAAATATGAAACAATTCCATTGAGAAAACTAACAGCCTAATTTATAACAAAACAATTTACGAAAACCAAATATGGCAGACATGAACCAACGACAACCACTAAACTACAGGCTCCTGACTCGGGACAGACACATAAAGAATGTGGCGGGGTAAAACATTGTATCCACATACATGTACAAAATATACGTCTTTTAAGTACACATTTTGCTTACCTTTTTCGAAATCTAATCTTGATGCAAATAATTTAGAAATCTAAGCATTTATTATGGTTTTTTTCCCCAAAATGGATGTTTTAATTTTTCTTTATATATGAATGAAAGGAGAAATGATGCATACGTCAATAAAACAGCAACCTAATGACACCCAAAAACAAATCCAAAAGACATTAAACTAAGAAGATATGTTATCAGAGACCAACAGCCTGATTTATGTAAACAAACAATAAACGAAAAACAAATATGATAGTCAGTGACCAACGACGAACACTGAATTAGAGGATCCTGACTCGGGTAGGACATATACAGAATAGGGCGGAGGTAAATATTTTTACGAACGCTCAATCTTCCCTCCTCCTAACATGGGACACTGGTGTAATAGCACACAATAAGAACAAACCATAAAAGTCAATTGAAAAAAACTAGAAAAATCAGATTGACACAGAGCACAAAAAACAATTTACGAAAAGTTCCGATCTAAGAGTACTCGTAGTTACAGAAAGCTTGTACAAAGCTAGTATTCAAAGCCAATTGCAACTAAAAATTAAATCATGTTCTCCAAGACTAAAGTCAATCAGTACACATCCAATGCATTTAGTATAAAGACGTCGTAAACAGTCTGAGAAAAACATGACTATGTACAATGCAAAAATATAAGTATCGACAGGATGTAGGACTATAAGTTTTCATAACTGTACATGAATAAATATTTAGTTACGTTTTCATTATGTTAAATTGATAAAATTTATAATAAGTTTTTTTTCTCAAAAGATCGATAAGTTTACATGTTTCGTATCTAAATTTACTGGCTTTATAAACAACATCACTGTAAAAATAAGGATATGATGTCTCGAGTGTAATAAGTTTTCTACAGGTACAGCCATATTTTCAAACCACATTTTTGATGTTATTTCTTCATAGACAGAAAACATATTACAGTCATTCCTTAAGTATACCATTACTTCAGACACGGGTATATCGAACGAGTTGGAATATATAAACATCATAAGATGGGATCAAAAGGAACCCAAGGCCAAAAAAAGGAAAAATAATAACAGGCAAGAAAAAACGTCATTTTTGTCGTAAATTGTTATATTGCGATTCACAAGTGAAATTGAAATATCCTGATCTCGGAAAGGTCAGTTATTGCTGTTTATATTAGATTTGTTTATAGTAAGTTCCTTTGAGTAAATTTTGGCAGTACATTTAGAGAAATCTGTACCATTTAACGAAACAAATATCGTCAAGGTAGCGGATAGTGTTGTTGTACAGGTTTTATTATGTTATCTTTTATTTATCTGCATTTTAAATCTGCAAACAAATATGTAAGACCACCTATACTATGGGGTCATCTTCGTAAACCTATGACAAAAAAACATGTGTTATGTCAATTCTTTTCATAAACTTAAAGGCGATAAGACATAGATGCATAAATACAATTTAATTACTAGTATTAGTAATTATGTATATCAAAATCAGATACCTTATAAAATCGTGGCAAAACGTGTGTCTCCTTTTAAATGGCGACAAAAGTAACATATACGCATACAAAGGATTCAAGAAGACAAGAGTCACTGTGTTCAAATGTCAAACAGATATGTAGGTAAAGCACCAAGTCGTACACTATAAAAAAAAAGCTAGATGATGAAAGGCCAGGTGACCATATTTATTTAACCCAGTCTAACCTTCGGGTTTAATCACTTGACACTGGCAATTGGTATTTTAGTAAAAATTTTGAAAATAAATATTGTTCAAAGATTTCGCTTTTTCTCGGACTATTATTGTCACTTCTGGTCTAAGATTTCAGCAGAATCAAATAGTAATAAAGGACTATATTTTGAGAAATATCGTCGTCCATAAGGGATCTGCTAGTCACAGCAGCAGAGATCGACTAACCTTATAAATACTAGTGGCTTACTTTTGGAGCCTTTTACAGTTTCATCATAAGGGCTACACTAATCATGTTTCTTTTTCTATAATAAAGGAATTTATAAAATTCACAAAAACTTATTTGAAATATGCGAAGAAATTTTAATGTTTCTTTCCAAAACTTTTGCTAACAAAATTCTCTTTTTTTAAGTTGTTGTTTATTGAGGTATAATGTCCCCTTTGAACTTCCTATGAATCAAAATTAATGATATTAACATAACTAAATAGAATATGAAAACCCGTTTTTTTAAGAGGCGACCTTACCAATTTTCACTGAAAATTGAGCAAATCGTATTGTGTAACACCGAACAAAAACATATCTGACTGTTTCTGTAAACAACTTCTATAAATGGCCGCTAAATGGCCAGAGAACAGAACTATTTTGTAGTATGCACATTAAAAAAAAAATGGCACATGCGCTAATAAGATTTTTGCAGTGTGGTGTACTACTTTTAGGACATATTATAGCAACATTATAGAAACCTAACTCACAATATTGACAATTCATGTTAAGTGGTCGTTAATTCAGTTTAACAGCTTCAGATATACTCATGCGCGGATCCATGATGTGATGTTAGGGGAGGCGCGCCCCTAAGATTTAGGAACTAGAGGACCATATAGTTTGAAAAAAAACCAATTGGCGGTATTTATTTAGGGGGTTGGGGGCGCCGGGTGGGGGATACTATTTTTTATCCCTTTTCAATTGAACCAAATCACTACTTTACCTTAAATTGCATTACCCAAATTTTATAGCACAGTAATTTCATCCCCTTACTTGCTATTTGATGTATAAGATACTGTCCTAAGGGACTTATCATTTTTTACCTGGGAGGGGGGGCTGGTCATTTTGAAATCAAAAATACAAAATTTCTTGATCCCCCCCTAATATTTCATCACTATTTTTATTTGATCCCCCCCTGTGAAAACATTTAAAAAATGTGATCCCCCCTCTATTAAACATGCCAAAATTTTAACATGCAAAACACTTATCATTTTATTTCACGAACATATTGAAAATAAAATATTCTCAGTGGATTGAGTCCAAAAACATATTTGAGGGAAAATTGCCTTGAAATAGGGCTCTTCCATGAATATTAGAAGTTGAGCAAGCCAGTGCTTTGAGTAGCTTATTCTGACTTTTGTTCTAATTTCCTATATTGGGCTATTAAAGAAAACTTGATCCTAAGTAACTCTGTAAAAATTTACATTAAAAAGTAAACTTTTCGAAACAGTAACAACACATTTTTTACTAAGAGGGGTCTATTATATGTCCCTCTCTTGAACGCTGATTAAACTTAAGGTCTTATTGAAAACTCCATTGAGTCGCTAAACTTTTATATGGATAGTTCATTTTAGCTTGAACAATTCAATTACTCATTTATTGTCACATTTCATTCATAAATGTGTGATAGTAACCTCAAAATTAAGATTTGTTAGCCTAAAAAGTACAAATTTTGAGGGAGTGTGAGGTATAAATGGAGTCAAAGGAATCTTTTAATGAAAACAAAAAGATACATAAGGGTTCATCATATCAGAATCATCTTTTCTATCAATATTCAACTGTTTGTATGCAATATTTAATCATTTTTTGGAGAAGATATTGCTCTACACTATATTCTTTCATGATGCGGCATGATTTGTATTTTTGGACAAAATTTTGCACAAATCGCTGCATGCAGATTTCGTTTTAATTTATACTTAATTTCTCTCAAACTATTAAGCTGATTATATAACAAAACTTGGCAGTTATGCTTGTCAATTTAGTGATCGAAGTGAGTGAAATATAAGATTGAATAATTCGGATTATGAAGCACCTATGCATTTTATATGGGACAAAATGACACAAAATGGCAGCTTCCTACATCACCAAAGTCTTGTGATGTCTTACTTAATTGTATATGAATGGTGTTAAAGATATATTTTCGATTTGACTGTTTTATAATGTTCTTCTTGATATTTTGTCTCTTGAAGTATATGAACTACTAATTTCCATGTGCAAAAAATATTGATCCCCCCACTTTGAATTTATAAAAAATTTGAACCCCCCTTTTCTACATACAGAAAAAAACTTGATCCCCCCTGCATTTTGACCAGCCCCCCTCCCAGATAAAAAATGATAAGTCCCTAATAAAAGTTAATATGCGTACTGTGTTCCCAGACCAATTGTAGGTAAATGCTATTTTCGGGTTTGCCGATAAAATAAATAAAGAAGAAAAAAATGTTAGCCAATCCACCGATCCTATTTTATTTCAGCAGGTAAACACACACATTTTTTTATGTCTAAACTGTCACCACTACGGAGTTACAATCGCCAAACAGCTGTGGTATAAATTAGTGTGATAAAAATTATTTCAGTATCATAAAGTATTATCTTACAATCTTAAAGCCTTTACTTTATTTTTGTTTAATTCATCTTCAAGTTGCAAATTGTTATTTTAGCATTCAAAAATAAATGAACTTAAGTTTTCATGCTACTGATACAACAAATGAGTTTCACTTTCAGAAAAGATTCTTTTGTCCAGTTTATTTAAGATGACTTGAGATCGCCTATTTTTATAGTTTGTTCTTATGTTGTACTGTTAGACCACTGTCCCAGGTTAGGGGAGGGTTTGCGCCTTAAAACAAGTTTAACCCCGCCACATTCTGTATGTGCCCGTCCTAAGTCAGGAGCCTGTCTTCTGTGGTAAGTTGTCGTTTGTTGCTGTAGATCATATTTGTTTTTCGTTCATTATTTTGTACATAAATCAGGCAGTTAGTTTTCTCGTTTGAATTTATTATGGGTCATCCTATTACTTCATCATTTAATATAAAATGGATGAACGGAGAGCGATAAAAAAATTTAAAAAATATAATTGCGCATAAATATTATGAGATTGTCTCAAAGAAAACATTCTCAAATACAGCTCTCAGAGGCGGATTAAGAGGAGGACAGAGGGAGCTTTATATATGATAAATGCATAGACTTTTAACAAGTATTACTCCAAACGTTTGCTTGCCAGCCCCCCTTTCAAAATCCTTGGTCCGTTCTGGCTGCACATGTGTACCTGATTAAAAAAAACACTGTCATATATATTTGTCTTTTTAGAATACGTTTTTTGTTTGCTTACAAGACATCGTTGTTTTGATTTATCACTTTCTGTTTTCCATTCTGAATTACTTGATCCAAGTGCAAGTCCAAAGATAGCTCCTAATAAGATCTAAAAAATACAATAAGATGAAAAAATACTAATTTTAAAGGCCAACAATATTATATCAGAGGTTACAAAGAAAGGTTAATATCGCCTGTGGTATACTTTACCTGAGGAATATGCGTTTAATGGTAAAAGGGTTGTTTCGAGTTTAAACATTACTTTTTTTTAATGTTTATTCTAGTTGAGCACATTGTTTATCATTTTGTGGTACATTTCACGATGGTCTTTCAGTATTGTGCTAGAAAAACCATTTCTTATGATTATCAGTCCCCGGTGGTTACTCTTAAAGATGTTGTTTAGAAAAGTACTTTTTCCCCTTTTTTTAAATATAGTTAAGGTTGATCATCAGTATATTTTTCCTCAGATAGAATTTTCTTATACTTTGCCAAAATGAAGATTTTACTATCTTTTTCAAAAAATATAATAAAAAGTATGGGTCACCGTTCTATATTTCAAGCTACAAGTCGTGCAAAATTGCCCAAATTTGCATAGATTTTTCATGAAAAAACCTATTTTTGTGAATAAAAAAGAAATCCATGAGATAGAATTTTGTGAAATAACATATGAGAAGATAGGTTTTGTAATATGCTTTAAGAAAATAAAAATAAAAATTGGTTTCACCGAACTTCTTTTCTTGCTACAAGTAAAAAAATCAATATTTCACTATCATTCTAGTATAAAAAATCGACTATAAGGCTCCCCTTAAATGGCTAAGTTGAAAAAAATTTATTCTAAAAAACACAAATATTTGGTATTTATTTATAAACATTTTGAATAATGCAATAAATCATTTATTTTTCTTTATACAAATAAACTGTCTCATACATAAATTGCAAATCTGTCTCAAAATTTGCATTCAGGCAAAGAACTAGACCGATTGTGTACTGCTATTGTACAATATATGAATAACACATAGCTGGGTCATTATCAAAAAACATGCAAATTTCGATGAGGGAAAATTTGGAAAAATGATGTCATTGTTTTAAAAATTTAAATATGTCTTCCTATTCAATGATATGGTAGCAACTATATTCAGAAATATGCAATGGGAAAAATGAAGAGTTCCTTCAATTTTAACAAATTTAGGTCATCCTCTGATAGAACCATGTCAATGGTGTTACCAATATAAAACATGCATTTAGTTACTAAAAAAATATTGTTAAATATCTAACAACTGTTCCAATTTGTTGTTAAGGTTAAAATTACTACTTATTGACATTATTTTTATAGGTATGCATTCTATTTAAACATCAATTTCAGAGTAAATTGTTGTAAAAAAGTTGGCTGTCCTAATTATGGCCGTTGTTAATATTAAAAAATACACTTAAACTAAATATATGTAAAATGTGTAAGACTGAATGATAAGATAATGCCTAATCCTTCGTATACGGCCTAAAACACTTTCATCTGTTAATAAAAAATAAAAATTATTGCATTTTAGCTTTTCTCATCACTTGGCATCCGTCGTCCGTCGTCCGTCGTCGTCGTCGTCGTTAACTTTTTACATTTTGAACTTCTTCTAGAGAACCACTGAATGGAATGGAACCAAACATGGCATGAATGTTCCTTATGAGGTGCTGACCAAATGTAGTTACTTTGAAGCCGATCCATCATCCAAGATGGCCGCCAGCGGGGGACTTAGTTTAACATAGGACCCTATGGGAAATACATACAAATGTCTTCTTTTAGAGAACCACTGAATGGAATGAAACTAAACATGGCATGAACGTTCCTTATGAGGTGCTGACCAAGTGTTGTTACTTTGAAGCCGATCCATCATGCAAGATGGCCGCCAGCGGGGGACTTAGTTTAACATAGGACCCTATGGGAAATACATACAAATGTCTTCTTTTAGAGAACCACTGAATATAATGAAATCAAACATGGCATGAATGTTCCTTATGAGGTGCTGACCAAGTGTTGTTACTTTGAAGCCGATCCATAATCCAAGACGGCCGCCTGCGGGGGACTTAGTTTAACATGGGACCCTATGGGAAATACATACAAATGTCTTCTTTTAGAGAACCACTGAATGGAATGAAACCAAACATGGCATGAATGTTCCTTATGAGGTGCTGACCACGTGTTGTTACTTTGAAGCCGATCCATCCTCCAAGATGGCCGCCAGCAGGGGACTTAGTTTAACAAAGGACCCTATGGACAATACATACAAATGTCTTCTTTTAGAGAACCACTGAATGGATTGAAACCAAATATGGCATGAATGTTCCTTATGAAGTGCTGACCAAGTGTTGTTACTTTGAAGCCGATCCATCATCCAAGATGGCCACCAGCTGGGGACAGTGTTTAACAAAGGACTCTATGGACAATACATACAAATGTCTTCTTTTAGAGAACCACTGAATTGATTGAAACCAAACATAGCATGAATGTTCCTTTTGAGGTGCTGACCAAGTGTTGTTACTTTGAAGCCGATCCATAATCCAAGATGGCCGCCAGGGGGGACTTAGTTTAACATATGACCCTATGGGAAATACATACGAAAGTCTTCTTTGAGAGAACCACTGAATGGAATGAAACCAAACATGGCATGAATGTTCCTTATGAAGTGCTGACCAAGTGTTGTTACTTTGAAGCCGATTCATCATCCAAGATGGCCACCAGCTGGGGACAGTGTTAAACAAAGGACCCTATGGACAATACATACAAATGTCTTCTTTTAGAGAACCACTGAATGGATTGAAACCAAACATGGCATGAATGTTTCTTATGAGGTGCTGACTAAGTGTTGTTACTTTGAAGCTGATCCTTCATCCACGATGGCAGCCAGGGGGTGGGGGGACTTCCTTTAACATAAGACCCTATTGCAAATACATACAAATGCTTCTTTTAGAGGTGCACTGAATGGAATGAAACCAAACATGTCATAAATGTTTCTTATGAGGTGCTGATGAAGTGTTGCTACTTTGTTGCTGATTTACTGTTCAAGATGGCCACCAGGATTTTTTTATTAAATTACAGGGCCAATATTAAACCAAATTTGGCCTCACTCATAATAAGGGTATCTGTTATGATTTTAATCTATTTTAACATTATTTCCAAAACCAAAGTAGAACCAGGTGAGCGACACAGGCTCTTGAGAGCCTCTAGTTATATAGTAACAACACTGACCCTTCAGTAACTACAATGACACAAAAGTATCACCATTGACAACACATTTCAAATTTTACTTTTATTTAGTACTGAACACAAAACAAAGAAAACTCAGCCAAAGAAAAAGAAAAAAACAAATAATTCTTAGGCTAAAAAATCTCAAATTATATAACATAACGTCAATAACTAAAAATGTCAATAGTGTTACTAAATAGTGTCATTGGTGTTACCAGCATACACCAGTTTGTGAAAACTTTGTATATGTAATTCATCATATTGTTAAAACATTGTTAAATAAGTATTATATTTCATAAATGATATGATTTTTCGCTTGTTAAACATGAAAGAAACACAAAAAATGCTAATTGTCATAACACATTCAGTGTTGTTACTAAACTGGTCAGTGGTGTTATTTTATTAAAGTAGTCTCACCATTGACAGTAACACCAATGATTTACAGGTGTATTTTTAGATCTAGTTACAAAATAAGTGTTCCATTCCCCTATTTTATATGTTGTTCCTGGTACATGTTTCTACAATCAATATCTTTTCATAAATCAAAGTGCAGGAAATCTTTCGGAAAATGATTTTTATAAGGGTACACCATGGACACTATTTTCATTTACAATATAGCTTTTACTTACTTTTAACATTATTTCACTAAATTTTCAACATCGATTTATTTTTCTTTTGCATAACATGCTTACAGTTAACATTGCTAGGGGAGAAACTATTGTAAATGCTGAAATCTTGAGAAAGATAACTCTTACCCAACCAATTTGTATTTTGGTTACACCAGTGACTTAAAAAAATGAGACTCTTCTTTTTGTTGAAAATTTTTATTATAAAACAAACACACAGAAGGTTTGGTACCATTAAAACGTTTAATCCCGCTGCAAATGTTTGCACCTGTCCTAAGTCAGGAATCTGATGTACAGTAGTTGTCGTCTGTTTATGTAGTTCATACGTGTTTCTCGTTTCTCGTTTTTATAATATATTAGACCGTTGGTTTTCCCGTTTGAATGGTTTTACACTAGTAATTTTTGGGGCCCTTTATAGCTTGCTGTTCGATGTGAGCCAATGCTACGTGTTGAAGGCCGTACCTTGACCTATAATGGTTTACTTTTATAAATTGTTACTTGGATGGAGAGTTGTCTCATTGGCACTCATACCACATCTTCCTATATCTATATACACCTCCCAAATCATTAAAAACTGTTGGTTTGTATCAAAATGCGATAAATAGTGATAAATCCTAATAACAAATGATATGAATAATAGTCCTATTTCAGGTCTGAAAGGTATTTAATAAAAAATAACAGCAAATTCTGGCTATATCCAAAGGTTTAAGAAAACATTAAGGATGTTTTTATAACATTTCATACTGTAAACTGTATATAGTGTATAACAAAACATTAAAATCTAACATATACAAGTGTTATTTTGATATATTTTCATGTCTGTGACTTAAAAAGATCAAAATAACATAGTTTTGCATGTTTTTTTTATAATGACCCAGCTGAGAGGGCGATAGAGCAGATTGTTACCCCGAGAAAACATTGTCAACTGAGGCGAAGCCAAGGTTGACAATGTCTTTTCGAGGGGTAACAATCTGCTCTATCACCCTCTCAGATATGTGTTATTTAATTTATTATACTGAATGTTCTGTTATTACTGTCTATTAAATTTCAAATTCAAAGTAATAAACTATGACGTCTTGTACATAACAACCATCCGTATTTAATAAAGCGCACACTTGATCAAGCGTCTCCGTGAAGGGTAATAGAGTGTTTACCATAGGATAGAGTAAATTGTCTACCTCGTATTAACCAATCAAAATCTGGCATTTTGACATGAAGTATTACAAGATGGCGGTATACAGTGAATCTACCTTAAACGTCACATTTTCGCAGTATAGATTCGTCCTTGAAAATAAAACTTGACTTCATTGTTATTTTAAAAGCAAATTAACAGACTGTTTCTTGATCTTTGAACCGAGTGAAAACGAAAAATATCTAATCGCAAAACTATTTTCAGGTTTCCGATCGTCGTATGAAATATAAATATATATGTCTGAGGGTGACAAGGAAAAAACGAAGCATTTGAAAACTGAAAGATAAACAAACTGAAGTTTTGTCATAAAACTAAAATCAAGTAGAAAATTAACAGGCAAGCTTTCTTACCAATGATCCAGCCCAAATAGGAGATCCAGATGTCAAGGGGAAGCCACCTCCTGTGCTCTTAGAAACAATTACTATACCAGCAATGATTAACAGTACCGCACCACCTGCCATCGCCATAGCAATAATCTTATACTTGTTCACTACATTTATGCGTAGCGCTAAAAATCTTGCTGAAAAATTGAAAGTGTGGTTGTGTGGTTATTTTACAAAAATTTCCATGGAACTTAAAAAAAAAATCATTTAATTTCTAATTATCACAATATGAGAGATATACAGAATTCTTTCCATTTTCGATCATTGCTTGATGGTAACAACGTTTTTCAAGGTTTTTTTTTGTTATTTTAGTTAAAGTTACACGAAGGTACTTCGACATGTAATCCTTCGTTTTATGTTAAACAATTCAACACATAAGGAATTAATTAATAAAAATGAAGAATTTATTTGTTAAGATTATGTCTCAATTTCATTCTCAGAAACTTACTTCTTTTGTGACATTTTAAGTAAAATCTCTTACATGAAAAATGTATATACACTCACTCAAATGTGATGTTTTGAATTTCTTTGCGCACTCATTGTATATAGTATAACGTTTATTCGAAATAAAACTGCTATATGTTTACAGATACCGGTAGTATATCCGTTATAATCAGATAACAACACTTCCTCCAATCAAATCTGGGGGCCTCGGTGGCCAAGTGGTCTAAGTAGTTCTACTACTGTAATCACTAGCCAGTCAACACTGAGGTTATGAGTTCGTACCCCGCTCGTGCCGGTGCACTCGACTCCAATCTTAATTGACTAGGATTGTCAGTTTTCCTATCGAAGGTCGGTGGTTTTCTCTGGGCACTCCTGCTTCCTCCACCAATAAAAACTGGCCGCCACGAAATAGCCTAAATGTGGCGTTTAAAAGTGGCGTTAAAACATCAACTATCAATCAATCAATCAAATCAAATCTAAAACAAAACTCTAGTAAATATGTGTGAAATTGGATACTATTTTCATCTGTCATCCTTCAAAGTTGTTTAAATAAGGGGAAAATGAGGATAATGGGGCTTCACCTAAAATAAAATGGTTGCTTTTTTATAAGTTTTTATATCTTTGAGAAGCCTTTAGTACTCTGGTGTTTTTCAACATAAATGGAAAACTTCCAGATTGAATTTAAGATTAAGGTTAAGAAGTTGGAGGATTGAGATGTTAACATCGAATGTGATGTGGTTCAGATTCCATACAGCTCTACAGTTGGTTAGTGTCACCTAGAATTAGGCTTTATGAATAGTGTGGTTCAGATTCCATACAGGGGGTTAGTGTCCCCTAGAATTAGGCTTTATGAACAGTGTGGTTCAGATTCCATACAGTGGGTTTAATAGTGTCCCCTAGAATTAGGCATTATGAAAACTTTTCTTCAGATTCCTTACAGTGGGTCAGTGTCCCCTAGAATTAGGCTTTATGAACACTGTGGTTCAGATTCCATACAATGTGTTAGTGTCGCTTGGATTTATGCTTTATGGACATTGTGGTTCAGATTCCTTACATTCCTTACAGTGGGTTAGTGTCCCCTGGAATTAGGCTTGATGAACAGTGAGGTTCAGATTCCATACAGTGGGTTAGTTTCCCGTAGAATTAGGCTTTATGAATATTTTTCTTCAGATTCCGTACAGTGGTTTAGTGTCCCCTAGAATTAGGCTTTATGAACACTGGTTCAGATTCCATACAGTAGGTTAATGTCCCTTAGAATTAGGCTTTATGAACACTTTGGTTCAGATTCCATACAATGTGTTAGTGTCGCTGGCATTTATGCTTTATGAACATTGTGGTTCAGATTCCTGACAGTGGGTTAGTGTCCCCTGGAATTAGGCTTGATGAACAGTGTGGTTCAGATTCCATACAGTGGGTTAGTGTCCCGTAGAATTAGGCTTTATGAATACTTTTCTTCAGATTCCGTACAGTGGGCTAGTGTCCCTAGAATTAGGCTTCATGAACACTGTGGTTCAGATTCCATACAGTGGGTTAGTGTCCCCTAGAATTAGGCTTTATGAACACTGTGGTTCAGATTCCATACAATGTGTTAGTGTCGCTTGGATTTATGCTTTATGGACATTGTGGTTCAGATTCCTTACATTCCTTATAGTGGGTTAGTGTCCCCTGGAATTAGGCTTGATGAACAGTGAGGTTCAGATTCCATACAATGTGTTAGTGTCGCTTGGATTTATGCTTTATGGACATTGTGGTTTAGATTCCTTACATTCCTTACAGTGGGTTAGTGTCCCCAGGAATTAGGCTTGATGAACAGTGAGGTTCAGATTCCATACAGTGGGTTAGTGTCCCGTAGAATTAGGCTTTATGAATATTTTTCTTCAGATTCCGTACAGTGGTTAAGTGTCCCCTAGAATTAGGCTTTATGAACACTGGTTCAGATTCCACACAGTAGGTTAATGTCCCCTAGAATTAGTCTTTATGAACACTGTGGTTCAGATTCCATACAATGTGTTATTGTCGCTTGCATTTATGCTTTATGAACATTGTGGTTCAGATTCCTTACAGTGGGTTAGTGTCCCCTGGAATTAGGCTTGATGAACAGTGTGGTTCAGATTCCATACAGTGGGTTAGTGTCCCGTAGAATTAGGCTTTATGAATACTTTTCTTTAGATTCTGTGCAGTGGGTTAGTGTCACCTAGAATTAGGCTTCATGAACACTGTGGTTCAGATTCCATACAGTGGGTTAGTGTCCCCTAGAATTAGGTTTGATAAAAACAGTGTGGTTCAGATTTAATACAGTGTGTTAGTGTCCCCTAGAATTAGGCTTTATGAACAGTTAATTAAAACCTACTTACCTTCCTCCTCTGGTGTTAACTGTTGTCGAGGAAATTGACATCCTCTTAGATCCACTCCCGAAATATGCATTTCAATCTTTTTATTCCTTCTTGAAATGCATTTAAACTGAAGAATATTAATTTTTGTAATTACGAAATGTGTATTGAAAATACAGGTAAAAATTCTAAAAATATCTTACCTGTTTACGTGTTATTTTATTGACTACATGCATCAATACAATATACTTTAACAACACAATACATTACCCGTGGTATTATTAAAGGCATCTTAACTATCTTGCATTACGAGGACTCAGTTTGTTTGAAAAGAAATCAGTTTCTCCCAGAAATATAGGTCTTAGGGGACGACCATTTGATATTCTGGTGGGGGGGGGGGGGGGGGGGGGGCAGGAGGAATTGTTTTGGATCGGTTATTTATTTTTGTTAACTAAGAGGACAGATTATCTATTTTCTGCACTATTGAAGCAAATTTTTCATTATCATTAAAGCAAGGGACTGATTATTTATTTTCACAACTATATTTATAATATTCGAAAACATACAATTTTTAAATTATTTGTTTATTATAAATAATTCATGTATAGTCAAGTCATTATGTACCATTTAATCAGAATTAATTATTAACCTCTGTAGAAATGAATCTTCTATATGCCCCAATGCATATACATGTATTGCATACATACACAGTATTAAAGTTTGGTTGTAACTAAGGCTCTTTTAAAAGTATTTGCAGACATGTTTCGCCGAGCGGAGCGAGGCAAAATTTTTTTTGAAGGGTTTTTGAACCGCTGAAGGCCCAAGAAGCTATAGAACAAATGATGCAAAATCATACCTTCTGGGTGTTCCCCAGACCCTTTCTTAAACTGAAAATGCAAGTTCTGTTTTAATAATTTTATGACAATATTTTGGTCTCAAAGCAAAATCACATTATAGATTCAGTGTAAGACTTAAGTTTCTAGGAACAACATCAAAAGACAAATATGCATGATAAAGCAAAAATGTAATTCACATAGTTAAGTCTGTGGCTGCTGTGTTTTTTTAAACTCATGATCAAGTTAATAATAAAATTACTAAATTACAAAATGAATGCAACACTAACAGAATACAGAAGGGCAATCAATGAACAAAAGACAAATAAATAAGAAACATTGATCCCGAAAAATCAGGGGCTACGTCTGGGGGAGAATAGAACTTGCTTCTTGCAAGGCACTCACGGTGAACACAATTTGATATGGAGACAAGCGTTTGGTTTTGAAATTTCCTACATGAGGCATTTGTCTCAATGTAGTTACGGCCCTGATTTAATAAAAGGGAGGTAAGTGTTCCTGAGACAATTAACCTCAAGTTAAATGAAACCAATTTTCTGACATTTCAAGTATATTTAAATAATATTTATACTTTTATTATTAAAAGATATGGGAAAGTGTTTCCCGATTTTTTTTTTGTAAAAAAAAAGATGAATTTATGAAGAATCTGGTGCCATCTCATACTTTCGATTAGACCTGCTGAGTTATTTATTTTCAATACATTGCAAGTCAGGTAATTTATTTTCAAACTACCACGGAACAAACCATTTATTTTTGTGATTATCAAGGCTGAGTTATTTATTTTCAAAATCCTCCTGCCCCCCCCCCCCCCCATGGTGTTCATGTAATTTAAATGATATACAATGCTGCCAGGAGCAGTAAACTTTGTTTTCATAAACATTGAATACTTAACTGAACAGTTAGTCAATTAGTCTTTGGTGTAAATACAAGAATGGTATATCTACCAACATCGCAATGTAGCGATTAACGTCCGGAATCAATTGTACGGCGGTTATACCCCGTGGTATAGAACCATTTAAACATGTAACAATAAACTGTTTTCAATATTTCTTTGTATTCTCATAATTGCGTATTGGCTTATTTATAAGACCGACTTATAAGAAATTCAAGCATATTTAAGGTGACTCGACTGTTGCTCGAACTTTCTTTACTGTATAAGATTTATACACAATAGCATGATAAATATCAATTATCCAGTCACCCAAGCGTCAATTGTTTGTGCAAGATGAAAACGTTTCCACTCATTCAATCTTGAAATGAAGATCGTTTTGTGAATGCTCTTTGTTATCTCAAATACATCCATTAAAGCTATTTTCCTAATGCTTGTAGTTTAAAGGTTTGGTTGGCTTGCTTGCTTTGTTTGTATAAACGTTTGCTCAATCTTAATTACAATGCTGAGGCAACATTTACACAATCAAGGCCAACCACACATTTTAACTACAAGCATTAGGAAATTAGCTCTAATGACGTTTAATTTATTATTATGCGATGTAGATTTAGACCGAAACAGAAACTTTGCTTTTCCGGTGACGTGGATTGGATTAACTGTCCAAGATATATGTATTTAATGATGACGTGTCATAGGAAAGAATAAATTTTATCCTACATATAGATCAGGACAAATTATTTGAGAAAATAGAATTGACTATGTTAGCAATAAATACCATGTTTAAGGAATTTATTGATATATTACCTCAGACTTTCACTCAATAAGTATGCATATATAATCAATCCTTCTGACTTCATAAATTTTGTTAGAGATTCGGCTGAATTAAGACTTTATATAATGAAAATTAATTAATTTCCTTCTGTGAAAATGCATCGCATATACAATAGAAATGAATCGCCCTACAGTGAAAATGAAAGTCTAGTATCATTATTCGACAGTAAACATGAATCGCATAACGAAAACAGCATAGTGGAATTTGATTCAATATCAACAAGCTGAATAACAAAACCGGTTTTAAGTTAAACAACATTAATAATTATGTTAAAAGGTACATTTTTCTGCAAATGAAACTTAACTGCTACTTTTAAATCTCTTACACGCTCTGTTCGTGAACTATTCTTAATATTTATCTTTTCGTGTATCAATTTTGCACCTGGATGGCTGTAGGCGCGATGAAAACCCGTCCGCATCTCATACCTATATCATGAATTTATAAAAACAGAACACATTATATATTATTTCTTATTTTATTCAAAAATCTTGAATTTGTCGTCTGTTTATATATCATTCTACATCAGAAATTCATCACGGATACAGTAAAAATTACATTTTAGGATTCGCACATTACATACACTGATTACGGATAACATACTTGGGGAGGCCTGCTACGAATGATTCCGACAACAAAGGCGTGTTATACACCATTGGGTAATTTAATCAATTTAGATTTACGGCATAACAAGTTTTAGTGGGGTTGACAACCGAGAAATCGAAATATAACGGAAGTTCGCGACTGGGTGACATTTTTCAAAAATGCGAGTTAAGTACCATGTGTTATATTAAGGTATATAGGATTTTTTTTTCAGAGACAAGAGCCTGTGCTTTAAAACCCGACAAATTTATCCACATAGCATCATAACGATCCTTACATGACAGTTGTATTTAAAAAGAAAAATATATCTACTAGCTATTAAGCATCATTTAATATACTTTTATGATTTTTGTCTTAAACAATTGTCAGAGGGAATTTTCGAAAGTTAAAAAAAAAACACTAAAAAAAATCTAACTAAATATTTCGTGGAAGGACAGACTAAAAGTTTTCAGAGGTTGACGACTAGTTACCCTAGATAACACACACAACACAATGATAATTTGTTTTAAGTTATGCTCGAAAAAAAAAAACACAAGTAAAGTCTGTCGTCAAGTGCTTTTAGGGAGCAACCATTTAACTTCAAGGGGAGGTTATGGTTTTTTGTCTGAGTCAGAACTTTTTTTTAGTTTTTCGACGCTGTCAATCAATTTTTTTTTTTTTTAATTTTACACTATAAGGTATGGGGAAAATCTGGATTCAGAATATTTTTTTTGTCATCTGCTTGACCACAATATTTTTTGTCATCAAATTGGGGATCAGAATATTTTTTTAGGAACAAACCGTAACCCCCCCCCCCCCCCTTGAAGTTAAATGGTCGTTCCCTAAGTTAAAATTTACTACACACCTTCTCTCTTGTAATGACTCATAAGAAAGGTATTTCACTTGACCCATTTATACAAACTTGAACATTTTTACCTTCTCTAATAAAGATTTCCATTTCGTTTGTTTAATTTCAACTGAATATCAGGCTGTATCACAACCCATTATGTTTAAATTTCGATTAATAAAGGAGATACATTAGATACATGTTAGAGTTGGGTCGTTCAAAGGATTTCACGAGTCCGGAGGTCAAATGTCACCTTTTTAATGTTTTGACGTCTTTTCAAAATTACAGTGTGTTCAAATAAACACCTAATTATCCTGAATGATGCACAAGATACAATCAAATTTAATTAGAAGTATACAGGTAGGGGATTTAAATCATTATAATTTTACGTTATTTACAAAATAAGGCACATTTGAAATATTAGTATTAGATACAAAGCTAACAACAACACTGCACGAGTAGTCAGGTCAATGTCCGAGGCGATAGTCTAAGACCTTGACCTGACTACAAGTGCAGGAACACTATACTGCTGGTTGTTACCAGCCCGTTTCTTTTGTTAATTTTGTTTTATGTCTGACTTGTACGACGTTTTTAAGTAGAAAGTAATACATTTTGCATTTTGAAGACAATTGCATAATTAAAAAGATGAAACACAAACAAAAATCAATACCGGTTTATGTACTACATATATACTAACATGTTAGGATATATTTAGTATTTGATGAATTTGGGATTTTGTGTTAAATTCTTTAAGCTGTACGTGTCCGAGTAAAGTATTGCTGATTATTTTGTTACATATCAAAGACGTAGGAGTAAACTGAAAAGGGGGATAACCTTCAAAAAGTGACAAGCAAACCAAAACCTGTCCTATTTCATGTATTTTACTATAGTCTAATAGAATGGACAATGGAAACGGGAAATGTGTCAAAGAGACAACATCCCGACCAAAGAGCAGAAAATAGCCAAAGGCCACCAATGGGTCTTCAACCTTGAGGGTACCAACAGCTCAATAGACAATGATTCTATACAGATATTATTTATAACAGTCATTTTTTTAATTCTCTTTTTTTAAATTTTACATTTTATAAGATATCATTATGAATTAAATAAAGCCTTTATCTATTAATAAAAGAATCAAGTTTAAGACAAAGCATAACAAACAAATAATTTAACG